CGTAGCATAGCTCTCAACGAATGTAGTCCTGTAAATAAATGAATAAAGAAATTGTGTAATAAAATGCTTAACTTTTCTCAAGATGATTTAGTTATTTTTTTTTTTTTTTTGCTTTTAACGCAGCGTACCATAGTTTATGTCAAAATAAACAAATAATATTAAATTAGCTGATCAGGCGTTTATGATAAACGATTTATCAAAAATCATTGCTCTTGGATGAGTTGTTTAAAAAAAATATTTTTTTATATAAAAACTCATTCAAAATCTGATGGCAAGAGGGAAATATTTAAAAAAGTGTTCATTACTTGTATGTATAATAGCTCACTCTACATTTGCCAGACAGTGGCGGCGCCAGCCCCCACCGGACAGGTCAAGCCCCCCGCCGGACAGAGCTCGTCGGACAATCAGACCATAAATGATATAAAAATAGGCCCACACCAAGCCAACACATGTCTGTCACAGTCTGAGAGTGCCATTTTCGGTCATGTAGAGGTTGATATTCTTTTTAAAAAAAATCTCATTTGGGAGCGGGAAACGCCTCTGAACCCCTTCTCCCAGCTCGAGCCTACGAGCTCAAGTCCCCCTGTCGCCACCTCCCCCAGAAAATATATCCTAGAGCCGCCACTGTTGCCAGACCTGGAACGTCATCGAAAAGGTGCGAGTGTCTTTCCGCAAGCCGGACGTTTTTATTTATTTATTTTTTCCCTACAGATTCTTTGAAAGTATTAACCATTTAGGGCGTATATTTGTTATTAACTTGTTTCTGTGTTTAAGTTGTTTGACTGATTGATTTTTTATCTACGATCCCTTTGCTTTTTAAGGGCACTCTAGATTTAATGCTATCATTAGGCGTGTTATAACGGCGTATTATAACGCATAATAAGGCGTATTAAAACTCATAATAAGTCAGAAATAACGCAATTGAATACTTTTAAATTACCACGGGAGTAAAGCTCTGAGTCAAATTGCTTATTATCGTTCCCTGCATTCATTCTGAGAAGACAGAGTAGTTCATTTAAACTTTCTTGTAAGTGCTGATGGATTGATGTCATGCTGTCTATCACGATAATAAACTCCATAATAATTCTGGATTATGAATTAAAGTATAAATGTGGAGTAATACGGATGTACGTTATTATATATTTTGGTAAAAATATCCGATTTTAAGTTTACTAATTAATCATCGAATGAATGACACACTTTTAGGTAAAATAAACCGTCGTTAAACATCATTAATCAAGGATAAAAAGACTACCCTATTAAGCTTATAAATACGAAGGGCGTCAGGACTGATAAAGTCGATTTTGAGAAAGTCGAACGTACCAGTGCATTAAATGACCAAGTCACCGTTAACACATCTCTGACATATCCACACACCCTGTAAGCAAATCAATACTCGAGACATCCCACGTACACCGTCAGGCCAAAATCGTTTTACTCCGCCATTTTCAGAAGTAAGTAAAGCTTTCGGTTATCTTTGTCTAGCCTCAGGAAAATATGGATTTAATGCAGTGTGACACGATCTCATGAATCAATTATCAGGTGGATAAATTGGCCCGGGGCCTGTTTTATTCATATCTGGTAGGCAATCGATGTACTTGAGAGTGTAATTAGGCTCGTTTAGGAATGGTTGAAATTGTAATTGAAGTCATTAATGCATTCGTAAAAAGTCTATGGTTAACTATAACGGAAGAGTTAATAGAGTGTTTGAGATATAGGCCTAATGAATATTAATCTAAATGATGAATTACTATTAAAATGCACCTTTAATTGATTAGGCCTAATATTTGTATTTGTCTTCAGTTGCAGTTAGAAAATGAGTATGCAATATATATTCAAAGTGTATGTTCAAATGAAAAGAAGATGGTTACGTCTGTGGCGACTAATAACAAAAACGAATATAACAACAATGACAATGAGTACGGTGTTGGTGATGAAAAAGATGATAATGATAATGAGATAATGAAAATGATGATTTTGATTATAATGAAGATGATGATAATATTGAAGATTTTGATGATAATGACGAAGGTGATGATTGCGATGATGAAGATGATGATGATGATAATAATGATAAACTCTATACCGGTAATAATGATAATGTTGAGGAGGACGGGGAAGATGATAATGATGACGATGATGATGATAATTACGATGATGATGGTCATGATTATGATAATGATGAAGGTGATCATGATTATTTTGAGGATATGAGGATGAAGGATGTGTGTGCTTTTAACTGAATGTTTGAGGTTCTCTCAGATTTTAAAACAGCAAATTACTGTTCGAAATTCTTAAGTAAATATTTAATATGTTTAATCATTATAATCATCATCTTTATGACCATCATAATCATCATTATCATAATCATCATCATCATCATCGAGATAACACTACCCAGAGTGTCTGGAGGCATGCCCTCGCGAAAATTTGGTGTTCTATACGCTCGAAAATAACATCTTAGGCGCTTCGGGCGATTTTTTTTTTTTCGTTTTCTTTCTTTCTTTTCTATTTTCTTCTTTTTTTTTGCTTTTAATTTTTACTAAATTACCATTCATTGAATGCTCAAAATTGGTATCATCTTATCTTTAACATCTTCATTCCTCTTTTGATATCCTTGTTTACGCCTACTACACAAGATCATCGCAGATTCAAACTCCAACGTGTTGATTGAAACTTATCGCCGTATCTATTTGAACTAAATTCTTCCTGGTACGTAGCAAGGTGTACATCTTGGGGCAGTTGGTCCACGCGTTGATTAAAGATATTAAAACTTCAACGAAGCACTTCCGATGTAAGTGGTTTCAAATAGTATGTTTACCTTTTCACTACTGAATATCCCGCGATCAATAGTGGAGAACGAAACCAGTACTTGTGCTTCAATACCGTAATCACGCGTTGAAATCGTTCATTGTGACGAGTTTAACCAGATGTCAAGATGTTTGAACGCGTGTCTACGCAGCGATTCTATTTTGGCGGAGTTGACTAAAAGTATTTACGTAGGCTCATTGAAAAATAGCATTTCATTTGAAGAAAGGCCGAGCATTTTAAGACAACTTAATACGAATAATGTAACTCTTTAATGGCAATGAATAATGAATCAGCGCGTGAGTGTCGAGCTATTAACTGTAAAATTTATACTTTTTAATTCAATATTTATATTTACAGCTTATATTATATCATCAGTGGTAAAATTAAAAAAAAACAAAAAAACGTATATTTAATTTCTCACATAGAAGCATCCTCTGCTCTGCCATTGTATTATTATTCTAACAGTATTATTGTTATTAATAGTACTTTGACTTTCTTTCAATTTACAATATATTATCAAATATCGAATGGCAGTCAGTTGGTGTTGCCAAGTAGACTTTTTCAGGTTTGTATTAATTTTTATTTCCAAAAAATTATACAATAATCATGCAGCATCAAATCAGACATAATGATTGCTTTATAGAAACCTAATTTTTAAACATTTCATTTAATAGAAAATATACAAAATATTCGGTAGGCCTAAATTATTACAAAATACAGTCAGTAAGGATCCTAATCTCCACATGGAAGAAATACACGTAGGCCTAATACATACAGTAGTTACGGTACGTTATTAGATCGCAATACAGTTAAGAGTATGCATTATGTATGATGCGTTTTAATGGTATAAAAATCCATCGTTCGAAAAAAAAAATCGACATAACAGCAGTCAACGAATTCAGCATCACAGAAATTGGCGATTCTGTCACTGTGAATGCGGGCTTGTAAACTGTTCGCCCTTTCTTGACTAAATGTTAAACCTTTTGTTTCAAGATAAATACAAGTGACAAAGTGAAACCTTCGTAACAATTAAATGTTGTATACTTTGTAGTTGCTATTCGATTTTCTGCCAAACTGACAAGCCTAATTACACACTAAACTGGAAATTGCTACAATCAAATAATTACATAGAAACTAGTCAGGTATTGAAACATAATACAGTACCGGTATTGTTTCTTAATGCCAAAGTTACTTTTAATGGCCTAATAACTAAAAAAAAAACAAAAAAAAACAAAAAACAAAAACAAAAAAAAAACCTTATAAAAGAAGAAAATAAGTGATACTTGAATAAAGTTCTAATTAAATATTCTAAATATCTTGTAAAATATAAAAATAGCCTCCTGACAGGCGCATTAGTATACTGCAGAACTTGCTACAGGTACTGTATAAATTGTTGACAAGGCTACATCTGAGTTCAAAACGTTCAAAACTTTGAAATTTCCACTACCACAGCATAAAGTATATCTGGCAAATGTGCAGTATACTCAAAAGTAAAGAAAAAAAAACAAAAAAAAAACAAAAAAAAAACGTTGCTTTCAAGAAACTAACCTAAACTTTTAAGCTCATTCTAATTCATAGCAACGTAACGGAGGAAAGATATTATGGCTATCATAAAATTTAGTTATTAGGACATATAAATATATATATATATACATATATATATATCATTGTAAATTCACGTGTGTTCTTCAAATTATATATTAGTCGTTGAAACAAAAATTTATGACAAGGCATGTAGACTGTAGAACACTGTATTTATTTTCAAAAGAAATTTTCGGCCAGTCCTCTGGCCTTCATCAGCTTTACTGAATGCACAAGATTAACTGTTTATATATATATATCCCGTCGGAGGCATTTTATTACACAATGACTTTTATAGGACTTTATTCGTTGAAAAGCTACAGGGTAGCCTACGATGTTCCATCATGTCCTTATTTAAACACTGTATATGTACCTTTGATAATAAGTTAACATCTTCTATTACGTACAGCACCGTATACATTATTAAATAATAATAATCACAATAATTATGCATTATTTTATTTAATTTTATCTAAAAGCTTAAACAACAATAACAGGATGGAATACACAAGACAACATAATGTTCTACATAACCTCATTATAAGAATAAAAGACTGGATTTGTTTTGGGAAACACTGTGATTGGAAAGCAAACATCTTAGCCACCGAACTACAGCTCATTGGTAATTGATAACAACTTATCATTAGGCTTGTATATTTTTGTATATTAAATATATTATTTCTAGCATCTTGAAGAATTATAAAATATGTTTCGTTTGTGGTATTGAACTGGTACCTGTTTCTGTGCATGCATTTGTAAATTAACTGATACTACGACAAATTAATTATCTTTTTGTCTCTTTGTAGCAGTTTTATTAAACAATCAACATTTTTATCAGAGGGGAAGCGATTTGATTGTTTGATGTGTTTGTACGACGATAAGTCTTATCGATCGCCTGCGAGACTTAGGAAGCCCAGCGCGAGGCGATGTTCGTCAGTCACCAAGTTGGCACCGAGATTGCGTCTAGGCATCCACCGAAAGCGTTTCCTCACAAATCATCAAATTCTTACTTTCGATGATTGCTGTGAAAGTTGTATGAGCGGATGCAATGTTTTGCATTGTCCAGGAATAACCTACCTTCGAGCCACAAGCATCTAAATCCAGTAGAAACATATCCATATAAAAAGGTTTAGAGGACGAGCTAAAAGGAAAACTCATACCTAAAAGAAAATAGAGCTATCTACAGCAAGGACGTTTTTTATGAAAAAATCCAGGATGGACTTTTCAGAAGTTGAGTCTGCTGTCCCAACATTCCAGGCACCTTCTATGCAGATTAATAAAGGGCGAGATGACAATGGTGCTAATATTAAAGTAAATCAAAAGGAACTACGCAGAACGGACGATAATGCTGAACCTTCTTTTTCGATAGACAGAATCCTGAAGGCTGGTAAAAATTTAGTGCAATCTTGTGACGACTCTCAAAATAGCAGACCTTGTGTTGCAACAAACGAAAACTCTTGGAATGCCAACAGCGGTAATGATATTTTACCTTGCCCCTCATCTGATCAGCAACACTACCTTGTAGGCTCTGGCAGCGGTGGTGGCATACCTTCGACGATTCGGCCCACGTGTACAATTGACGGTCTATCAGGTAATTTAAGTATGCCGTCACCTAGATTTCCACCTCCTCCACCGCCACCACCACCACCAGGTTATATAGGAGGTTTTTCGTATGGGTACAAAAGTCCAGATATGCACTCCTGGTCACCTTGGCTGTACTCACCCGATATTCCACGACATCCCTTTTCAGGTAAGATGCTAATAAACTAATAAATTATGAGCAAAGATGTTAATGTATCTAAGAAAAGTTGATGCTTGCTTTTCAATGCTTGAGTTCAATGCTTGACAAGTTTATATTCTCACGACCAAAAACAACTCTATTTCTAATCTCTTCATAAAACTTACTTTATACGTAGTACAGCATCACGGCATATGTTATCTTATGAAAATTGATTGTTGATTGTAATATAAATTGATGAAAAAATCTCTAATGGCAGTCCTTTGTCCATGTTCCAAAATATGTAGGCCTGAAATAAAACAAAAATTAATCCAAGAAAGAATAGCAATATTCTTATATTTTGTGTAAGTTCATTCGTTCCATGGGGAATATTCATATATACATCAACTTCAGCCAATATTCAAATTTCATTCAAACTCATTGAAGTCCTAAATATGCACCAAGTTATACATCTGGTGAGAAGACAGACGTATTAGAATGCCAACCCGTTCCTATTACAAATATAAAGAATCGACATTGCATCCATTGAAACTTTATCGTGAAATTGCGCAAGGAAATTTATTCAATAGGCCTATGTCTCATTAGCAGAATGTCCAACCTTAATTAGTCTTCCGAATGTATTGAAATAAGGTAGATCACTCAAATGATTTGTGCTCGTATCGATTAGACCTACCATGTGAATGGGCTTCACTTTCCTAATTTATTGCTTATACAGATTACTGATAAAATAACCTGCCCTTATGGAAATACTAACTCGACGAAAAATTATTTTAATTCTCATTATTATACTAAGAATCGTACCAAATATAACCATCTACGCACGAGTAGCGTACACATGACGTACGCTGAACGAATGGAGTTTTAGGGAAAAAAAATGCAAGTCGACTAGACTCTCTTTGGTGATTAAAAGCAGAAATGTCTTAATTATTGTACTACTTCATTACAGCACGTTTATACCCTTATTAGACACACTAACGAGAGAGGTTCATTCAAGTTGTTAGTGTTGATACTATGTCTACTCGATAATACGATCAACTTAACAACCATACCCACACAAAAGTTAAGTTTTTAAGATAACAAAAAAGCAATGACAATCTTTACAGACCAGTTCCTTAATAGTCATGGTTTAGGCTAAGGTATATGGTTTTGTATTAATCGTGTGGTTCATTCAGCCGGAAAACTACAATAGAAACTTATAGTCTCAGTGAGGTTTATCCAATTTATATGGATAAAGTTTTACTTGGTTATTTTAGAGAAACATTGTGACGCTCTTTTAATGTGCACAGCAAAGATGTACTGTAGTCACACTACCAAAAAAATAACTTAATTGAGATGAAAATAATCTACTTAGCATTCAATCACAAACTATAAAATAAAACTGTAAATTACACATATAAAAATGCTAATAATTGGATATTTAAGCTTTACTTTATTTCATATAATTTTAATTATATTTTTGTCGTCCAAAACATTATGAATATATCAAAATGTATTACAATTATACTCTTTTATTTTTAATCGAAAACCAGTGTAAGATATTATTTACCTTATTCAGGAACTAATTTTGCAATTATTGTTTTATTGATAAGCCATGAAATGCTTGTAGGCTTGGGACATAACGTAAACCATTTCACAGTCATTGAGCAATGCCAGTTGGTACACCTAAGCATGACTCCCCGAGAATGGACGGCATGTGAATCAAACTTTCGGCCGAAAGTTTAATAACCAGAATGTTAACCTCTGCACCAAACTGCCTACCCCCTATTTAACATTGTTTAGTGTTGACCACTTCTGATCAGGTCAATGGCATTAGGTTTGCTTGGGTACTCCGAAGGCTATTAATGAAGAAGTGTTCTTCTTGTTAATAATGTATTCAATTCTCATTCAATGATTAATATGACTGATGGTCATCGGTGTAGACTTTTGTCGATAATATTAGAATCAATTTATAATTTTAAGCTTATTACTGTATTTGTTTTTCGTGTTTGTTCAGGCCAAAAACAGTTGGGCAGACGTCCTAGAAAGCCGGGCGTTGACCGCAAACCTAGGCAGGCTTATTCCTCCAAACAACTAGAACGACTGGAAGAGGAATTCAAGACAGACAAATATCTAAGTGTCAGCAAGAGGTTAGAATTATCGATGAACTTAGATCTGACGGAAACACAAATCAAGACATGGTTCCAAAACAGAAGGTTTGTGGCATTATCAATATATTTGATATACATTATTAAACAAATAATAGGCTTACACATTTATATAGGCATATTACTTTATTAGGTAATAATAATAATAATAATAATAATAATAATAAAGCGTAGTGATACTGTACATTAAGAGCGAAAGTTCAAACATTTAACTTGTTCACTGGATTTAGAGAATTGTATAAATGTTTATTTCACCGTGCGTGTGCACAGTGTCATAATTTGTCTCATCCAACTTATCATTGCGATCATATTTTTGATAGACAATATTAGCGAAATATACAATCAGATATATCTAAACCCTTCAATTAATTTAAAAAAAAAAACAAAAAAACAAACAAACCTTTAAAGCGGTGAATAAGCATACTGATTAATACCATGTTTTAGGCATATGCCTTTCAATTCCTGCATGGGAATATGTATATAAGAAATATTTATCAAATCCACATAAATAGTGTTGCAGCTGTGTTTAAATCGTCACTCACTTTAGAGAGGCAAGAATATCGTTTCAATCCGATTAATATCGTTTAGAACCGGGAGGCTATCTGTTACAACAACAACAAACACCGCAAATCGTCATTAAACCGCAAATCAAATGTGAAAAAGACGCGCATCTCTACCTCTCCACAAAAGTAACTTAAATTGATTACTGGGGTAATGAAAATAAAAATATCAATTAGCATTCTAATCAAAGAGTATATTCGGATAACATCACGTGTCAATATCAGTGACTAGTTGAAATCAATAACAACAACAGTAAATTGTCGGTTCATTAATTAATATTATTATAACATCATGAGAGGTTTTGACTTGTAAAATGTCGTGCTTTGTGACAACAACGAAAACTCTGTTAGTTTACCTGAGGACGTTATGCTTTTATTGAGAACGTATGAGTTAAATTTTCGATCGCACATTGGATAAGTTGTGCTGTTAAGATGTTGCCTTCAGCACATGATTTTTTCCTTATGACTAAAACACGTCTTCACTTCCTTCGCTGATAAAACATCATGTTATTTTATTTTTAAGCTAGGGCCCCTAAATATCAACCGATCTTTTAGGATACGCTGGAAGCGTCACCTTCTATGTTTAAACAAAACCGATTATGTCCAAGCGGACTGGAAGCAGCTATTTTGGATAAATTCCATTGTTCTTAATTGTATCACTTTGATTTAACTTTATTGTTTTTGAACGATTAAGGAGACTTGTTTGGTAATATATTTTTTGTTTTCTTCTTCTTGTCCCTTAGGACAGCAGTATGTAAAATGATAAAAGCCACTCTATCTAGAAATAAAAAAGAAACAAGTACAGTAATAATATTTAAATTGATATGGGTTTCAGTCGGTTTTAGTCAAGCTCGATATTATGGGCTTGTCGCCACCGTTCTTTGTCATCCGCGACCATAATACCATCACACTCCAACCGGCTTTTTTCCAGTCGGTCCTTTTGCGCCCTATTTTGCCACCGTTGGCATAACTCTGTATGAGGCCTTGGATAAACACCAATTCATAATACCAAGCTACCGAGACCGAGACCGACTTATTAGCATTATCTTACACATATATATCAACAATGTTAGTTATGTAACGTGGCCTGAAATACTTTTTCTTTAGATCGAAAGTACCCATCCCTTGTGTGTCGTAAGGGTAAACTCTAATAATATTTAACAATATACTTTTGTAATATAGACTGATAGTGGTAACGTCCTTGGTTTATTTATTCGAGTTTATTACTCATTTGTAAAAGTATTTGTACTTCAATGAGCTTCTAATTTTACTAAGTAGGTTAATGATATCAAACTTGTAGTTTGTTTAATTGAATTTTAAATTCTGGCATTGTAAACACATTGTCGCATCTGTTTTATCTATTTTAAACCAAAGAATTACGGACCAGTTTTCGATAACAGCAATTATATGGGGGCTTATTGAAAAATTCAATCGCCGAATAGACACGGGTAAAGATATCCATTTCAATTCTAATTAATAGCTACGTATTTAACGAGCTTATTAAAACACTTAGAATAGATAATTGATTTTCTCTTTGCGGTGAGTATCAAATACAAAGCCACCATTTAAAACGTTAACTTTCTCTTTGGATTTGTTTTATTTGTTGCACCGCACTCGGTGATGATCTTCGATATTTTTTTTGACCCGATCAGTTACAACTCAATTAAACAAAATAACTAAGACGCTAAGACGTTTTGTAAGGAAACAATGTTAAGCTGTAAACTATGCTCTTACTCAGTTACTTTGCTGTTTTGATGGTTGCCGCCTCTTCACAAATCGTAATCGATAGTTATCAATACAAGTAGTTCGAATAGTAAGTAAACACCGGTTCAATATCGAGGCTAATGGAATGGGTTTATACAAAGAGATGTCCCTCTCTCTTTGATCTTTCTATCCTTCTACATATAATGATTTATTTTTAAAAGTTTCCTAATATTGATATATTTAATTGCAGCATTTCGATTTTTAAAATAGTTATTAGTGATTTTTAATTAGGTCGGTCTTCAATTTTGAAAGTAAATTCAATTTTTAAATGTTCAAGCTTAATTTTTATACTATATGGTATAAAAATATAGTATAAAAATTAAGCTTCAACATTTAAAAATTGAATTAAATGTTCAAGCTTAATATAGTATAAAAATTAAGCTTGAAAATTTAATTCAATTTTTAAATGTTCAAGCTTAATTTTGATACTATATTTTTATACCATATATATTTTATTACAATCCGGTTTTTGTGATACTTTTGTGTGTCTGAATAAATGAAATAAAGATTTATATATATATAGGTCACGATATTTAATTTGTATGCAAATTCACCACTAACAATGATTATAAAAATGTATAAGTCTAATTTTGTATTATAAATTTTGTGCGCTATAAATAATTAAATTTGCTATTTTCCTGTAGGACCAAATGGAAAAAGCAGGTGACAGCACGTCTAAAACTAGCTCAACGTCAAGGCCTCTGGGGGACGCCGTTTATGTCTCCCTGGTACAATACAGTCATTCCCACATACCCAGGCACCTATGGACCATTCCCTTCTCCGAGTTGTAGCAGTAGTTTGACGCCTAACTTGCACGGAATCGACATAATGTGTAGGCAGTCTTTGGCTCAACTCGCAACTCCTGTACAGATCATCTAAGAATACATAGACAAAATTTACAAAGTGTAGAATAATTAAACCACACTAGAGATTGCCTGATACATAGACCTGTTTACTTTTTGTACTATCAAAATGTGACTAATATTTGCAATGCATCGCAATAGTTGGAGCTGATGTTGTATTGAACAGGAATTTTGTTGGCTCTACATATTGTGGTAAAATTGAGATGAGCTCAAAATCTGAAAAAGGCAGGGACGGTCAGCCAATGTATAGTTTGCTGGATACAAATTCTTGGATGAAGCGAGAGTCCGAGCCCTGCCTGGGAAGATGCCGATTAAGTGGAAGGCTGTACAGATTCGTTAATTGTAAATAGGTTAATGAAATAATATTATAGTTAGTTTTAACCATTTTATTGATCGTCTATTATGATCAGAATACTGATCATTAATTGTCATAGTTTATACATTTATTATTACATTCCCTGTCTCTTGTCACATACAAGTTTAATTGTATTACCGGTACTGTTTATATATTGTTATATTTTATTTTATTGAAAACATATTTATACAGGATACAATTTCAGACAAGATGTAACAGTCTGTTTTTAAAATGGTCCTGTTAAAATTAATACAATTGAGATAAAAGCTTAATCTACAACATAGAATATGGATTTTTTTTTAAATACGTCGACAAAAATCACAAGGTAAGGTAATAAAATTAATGATACACGTCTTAATCACATATAAAATATTAAAATTCAATAGTAATGTAGACTAAAAGTATCAAAAGGAAATTAGACTATTTTAAGAATTTCTCTAGGTTCACTATTTCTACGTACTACAGAGGAGTAGGCCTATGTATTGTAAATTTTATTTTATGTTGACTTCAACGTGACAAATAACTTATTGAAGATATTATGTATTTTAAAATTTCCACAATATTATAAACAGTATGTTTGGTGTTTCGTTACGTGGTGTGCGAAAAATAGGGAGTTTTCGATGCAACGCAATAACTCCGCCCCTTTTGTAAACAAATCGAAATACGCATGCGCAATCTAACGTACGTCGAGCACGTAAAATCCTGAATTAACGTACTCCGCAACGCAAGATGAATAAATTATGACGTCATCCGTTAACGTTAAGGTTAACGTCGTGCAGCGAAAACACCTAATGATAGCACTAACAGTAAGCCTAACATCGTTCATTTTTGTCATTACTATTATTAGCTCAATCAAGATATTGCTGTTGAGCAAACTTAGGCTTTATACACTAGATTCCAGAATGAGGCTTGAGGAATGACGTTTTAGATAGTTACAGGACTCGAACCCAGGACCATGGAATCTGAATGTAACTTAACTTTGGTTATAAGCAAAAGATAATCGCCATGACTACATCGTTTCTGTGGTTCATTATATAACTTTGACAAATATACATAAATATTTATGACTTGTTTATAAAACAAATGTATAAAATATATAAAAAATAACATTTACAGTGCTCCAAACATAGCATACTTCAACAAGAAATCCTACAGTTGTATCAAAAATTGTGTCTAGCAGTCTGTAGAGTGTTGCCCCATGTGTGTAATCTACATAGTAATAACAAGTCTAATCAAACCTAATGTTGAACCTCTTTTTTTTGTTTTTATTCGCTCTGATTGTTTCATTTCAATAAGTGGGAACAAGTACTCCTGTCTCTTATACACATCTAGATGTGTATAAGAGACAGATATATATATGTATACTGGCGGAATTAGAACTTGTAAATAAGCCACTCATTAAAATTGTTTTATTGGTTTTGCTTTTATTAATAAAAAAAATATGAAATTTATTACCAATACCAGTATTATTTTGTCAGTTGGCCAAGCGCGTCACCACTGGTCTTCGAAAAGTTACACCAAGTTATATCGATTTATAATAAAAATTATTGTCATCAGGGTATAGTTTACTAGTACAGTAATATCAATAACAAAATTGAATTTACTGATTTTAAGCGTGTATGTAATTTTAATGTTGATTCTTATGTTTTGTTGTATAAATCATTAATATTAAAATCAAAGAAATAGGCCTATTCTATATATTTTTTATTTGACTTTAATTGAAAATATGGCCTATTAAGCACATCTATCATTCTATTGTATTTACATTTTTTCATAACAACTACATTTTTTTTCACAAATTGTAAATACATATACTCTATATGTAAGTCTACTGTTCGTTAATTTATTTTAAAAAGACAACTACGTTTTGCTCTGTATTGTTATGGAAATAAATAAGTATTGAATAATTAAGTTAGATTAAATTTGATCTTGAAACAGACGCAGAAATTATTCACTTGACGTCAATATCTTATTCGCTAAATGATAGGAATATAAAGTTAAGTATGTGAAATAAACCATAAGAATGAAAAACGAAGTATTTACTCGGACATTACGAATTTTATCACGATTCTTTTATAACTGGCACCTATTCCAGTCAGTTGAAAAAAATGTGATAGAATTCGAAACGTACCGTACGTAAGTAGGCTAAGTACTCTGTTTTCCATTCTATGGTTTTTACAAAAAGGAAATCGCTACCTTGAATATTAACAATTAATTAAACGAAAACTACTACTGAACGACGGTTTTAATTACAAATAGTCTCAAGCAATTTGTTTACAGTATGCTGCAGTACAAATCTGCCTTCTATAATGCCGTGCTACTTCAAAGCAGATCTCTGTGGCATCTCATCTTGTTGTTTACTGTAATGCTGTTCTTTATGGACTTCTAAAATTCCACTTCAAATGAATGTTGCAGCTTTTTTTCTCTCTTCAAAGCGTCATTGTAATATCTATACTTTGTCGTTTGCTTTGGCCACCTGTTGAGCAACTTATACACTTTAATAAAACTCTGGAAATAAAAGTATAACGTGACAATAGGGAATTTCAAATTAATTCTTTAATCAAGTTTCTGTTGAATTGTTTTGCTTTAACAATAAAAATATGATATAATATTTGAGTTCATAATACGTTATAATACCAAAATAATTCAAAGTACTTGATTACCTACAACGACTCCTACTACCTACTAAACTTTCATTGCATCTGTTTCATATCAGAATCTGCCTTAAGTTTTATAATAACATCTATTTGAAACATCTTTGTCACAATAATTATCCTTATTTTCTTAAAGTATTTTACTCAGTGCTATAGAGTAGAGTATTTCTGTATGTTTACGTAACATGTTTTATATTTGTCTGTTTGTTTGCTTGAGATTTATTGCTGTCTTACAAAATACAGATTCAAAAACATTGAAAGGAAAATAGAAAAGAGAGCAAGAAGATAAAACAAAAACTCGGAAGCTTGTTTTCCATTATGGCCCTCGACTTAATTAATAGGACTATTTAATGTCTGTACTACAACACAAATATATTTTTTCAATCAATCAACAAGTTTGTAAAGCGCCAATATCCAGAATACGATGTTCAGTGGCGCTATGACAACGGTATTGCTCAAAGGTTACAATAAACTACTGAGTTTAATTAACAATACTACAATTGTAAGATATATAGGCCTACGGGAAAAAAGATAAAAATAGTTTTTTGTGTCAAAAAAAAAAAAAACGAGATGGAGAAGAGATAATATTTTATCGTTTATATCATTACCCAATGTATCAGCACCTGGATTCAAATGTTCTACTGTCTTTTGTTGTATTGTCGACAATAAATATTGATTGATTTGTTGATTTGAAATATTCAGAATAAAGTATAAAATAATTAAATAAGTGTTTTAAAAGTTCTTTGTCACTTGGGGGCGCACATCCGCTGAGAAAGTCAGGCTAGGAAACTGACACGTAATGTTAATAAGTACGATACGATAACAATACTACAATTGTAAGATATATAGGCCTACGGGAAAAAAGATAAAAAATAGTTTTGTGTGTCAAAAAAAAACAAAAACAAAAAAAAAACGAGATGGAGAAGAGATAATATTTTATCGTTTATATCATTACCCAATGTATCAGCACCTGGATTCAAATGTTCGACTGCCTTTTGTTGAATTGTCGACAATAAATATTGATTGATTTGTTGATCCGAAATATTCAGAATAAAGTATAAAATAATTAAATAAGTGTTTTAAAAGTTCTTTGTCACTTGGGGGCGCACATCCGCTGAGAAAGTCAGGCTAGGAAACTGACACGTAATGTTAATAAGTACGATACGAAAAGACAGGTACAGGCGGGGTGCAGGTAAAGTTTTAAAATTATTTTGTGTTCTAAATAATTTTTAACTTATTAATAATGATATGGAACCGTTATATTTTATTCTAAGGTCCATTTTGCCGGCCTTAGATTCGTCGTACGTAAGCGTCTAGTCCTAGACTAAAAAGAGCAGCATGCATCACACCATTATAGGCCTAGGCGAGATGGTCAGGTATGCCGACCAGCTGCCTGGAGATCGGGGATGTGTGCTAAACAATTCAGTGTAGGCCTTGGAGCTTGACAACATTATCCTACATTTTGCACATCCTTATGTGCTTATTGCTCCTAGACTAAAAAGAGCAGCATGTATGACAGCCTAGGCCTAATAGTAGGGTTGGGCCTACTGTAGCTAAACTAGGTTAGGCATACAGTAGGTTGGCTATATATATGGCTATCTATAAATAAAATATATTGAATTTTATTTAATTACTGTATTAGAGGATGGCCAATGATTGGTTGCGTGTTTGCTGGTTAGTACTTTTGCCTTTGCTACAAGCTGCAGCAAAACGTGATCAAGCTCTTTATTGTGGAGGTAAGTCAACTAAATACTTATTTTATGTCTTACAAAATGTGTTACCTTGTCATCATTGAGTGCTGAACCAGAACTGCTATATTTCATGAATATTTTAACCGAATAAAAACATTAAAAATAAGCCACTAAAATATAGAGGGCACAATAACAAGTAATAACATACTGTCAGCAGAGGTGGGGTTGGGAGCTATGCCCCCTCATTGGGGAAAACTATCCCCCCCCCCCACCTTTCAGTGGGGAATAAAAGAAAATTAAAAAAACATTTTTACATGTCTGTTCGTTTAGCAACCATATTGCCTTCATTGACCTATTTGTGTACTGTTTGTGTTTACTTTTCATCACAATAATAATAATAATAATAATAATAATAATAATAATAATAATAATAACTAGACTTACTATGTCTGTTTGAACAACAGAACGTAGGGCTTTTCCCCGTTGATTTGATGAGAAATGAAGTTGAAATTGCAACAAAAATAAAAGTCGTTGAAAGATATAAAGTAAAAAAAACATGGAAAACCGATATAATTTTAATGAAGTGGGAAAAAAATGAAGTGGGAATAAAACAAAAGCAACAAAAACCAAGTTCACTGTGACATTATTAGTGAGACTTAAACTATTTCTGCAATGGTCATAGCGAGGTACATCGTGACTCATAACCATATTGCGTGCCATATGAGCCGACCTTGCAGATACGCCTTTTCCCCCCAAGAATGATTGGCTACCACATTGCACTGAACATTCCAGTAACACTCATTCATTAGTCCAAGCCTGGCACATTAAGCACCGCTAATTTCACCGCTCCCAAACGACAACACCACAAAGCACAACTCGCTACGATTAACCACTACATGTACAACAATAATGCGACATCGAAAAGTCCACTGATTATATTCAATAATAGTACTGGTTCTAAGCACATACTCAACGCCATCTTAATAGGTTTCAATATTTCGACAATAATCCCATACAAAAGTAGATTCACACCCCCAATACCCAAAACACAGATCCTATATATATACTATACTGTGCCCATACCAAGATTTTACAGTTACTTTTAGTCAAGTCATTTGTTCTTTAAGTCAATGCAGCAGTAGACACGTGCTCTGGGTGGGAGCCTATTTTCAAAATATCTGGTCTGGGACGTTTTCCTATAAATGGTCCTCATATTCACACCCTACGCCAGATAATTACAAAAATTCAGTAATTTCTTCACTGGACCTTTACAAACAATAATATAGAAAGTCACATTTACACCCATTGAAAATTTTTTATAGATATTTACGTCTGGGATCTCAAAAAATTAAATGACCCTCCAATTTACACCCTTGACTGATTCGTCGCCAACACATAATAATTTCTTCCTTGTAACTTGGTTAAACTTTTTCCGAATGTTTCATTCCGATCAGTTGATTCGTTTTCGAAATATGTGATCTGGGACGTTTTCCTTTAAATGGTCCTCAGATCCACCCCTTAACTGCGAATCGTCACAAAAATTTAATCATTTTTTAACTAGACCTTGACAAAGTATTATAGAATGTTTCATTTAGACCCATTGGTTTTTTTTAAAAGAGATATTTAAGTTGTCTGGGTCCTCAACAATTGAAAAGACCCTCAAATTTTCACCCTTCACTGGATCGTCACTAACACATAAAAATTTCTTCCTTGTAACTTGATTAAACTTTCCCGTAAGTTTCATTCTGATCAACTGACCGGTTTTTGAAATATCCAGTGTAGATTGTTTGACCTTAAATAATTGGTCCTCACACGCACACCCCACCATAGAGTTGATTGACACTAAATATTAGGAGGCACATCCTTGATATATAGCCTATGCTTCGGCAAAGCACAGAAAAATTATAAGCATGGGAAGTGTCGGCCAGAAAAAAACACTGCAAAATGATAGAAAAAAATATTCAAGTGCCATTTTATTGTCAGTTAGCCGACTACCGTATTACTTTTCACATTGAATTAAGCCCATGGAACAACAGATATTCTTCACAGAATATCTAATTATAACTAACTATATTCAAACATCTATTGGAACGTAAGTCGGCAGAACAGTGTCAACGTGTCAAAACATCGTTTTGACAAATTTTTTTAAATGTCAGTGCATATAAATTTTATGTATTGAAATAATAAAAAAAAAAGAATATAAATACCCCTCCACCCATTCAAAAAATTCTCACAAATTGGTGGCCTTACAATTTACAGTAAGACTTATTTGTAATTTTGTTGTTAATAATTCACAATAACATGGATTACGGAAAGCCTGAATTTCGCCATGATGGTAGGATAGTATTGTAATGTAATACGGTGTTTTTTTTCAATAATATAAAATGGAAAACAGATTTGAAAATAAATTAGTTGGTTACATTGCATACTCTTAGTTTCTCGTTACTTTATTCAAAAACTTTCGGTTTGGAAGATAATTTCGACATTAAAAAGCATACATGAAGTCATAGGTAGCTTGATGCCTATCAAATAACTAATAAAAATTCACCAAAATTCGTCAAATATCCATAGCTTCCAGAGGGCTTCACCCCTGGACCACTACCGGTGGCCGATAGGCAGCCCCTGACCCCCAGCCAAGTGAGGCTCGCTTCGCTCGCCTACCCCTACTTTGGGCCTTTAGTCCCCCCATTCGGGCAGATCCGGGCACCATCACTGACTGTCAGTAAAAGAAGATTAACATTTGCAGAAAACAAAAACCTGAAAAAAATTAAGTAGGAGTGGTGTAACGGCTAGACAGTAATAGATCGCATAAGATTGAGAACGATATCAAGAAACCCCGATCTCCTGTCCCACATGAGAGAGGGCACAAATGGGATAATGATCAAATTAATAATCAGGCTGATTCACCCACTACTGTGTGGTGAAGCCCTCCAACATTTTTCATCTTTTTCTGTCCATTGCCACTTTTGCCCAGTTATTCCTATGTATGTGTTATGCCTTCCATCCACCTTCTTTTTGTCTTCCTTTAATCCTTTTTCCTAGTTCGTGGTTGGCAGTTTGTTAAGGCGTAAAAAAAATTGTTTGTTTGCCCTCTAGTGCCCGCTCCTAGCTCACAGAAAAATAGGGGTAGCGTTTTTAAAACAGTTTTTTTTTTCCCCGATTTTTTTGTTCTCAGTTTTTAAAAAGTGATCTTTATTTTTCTCCATTTTGCACATGAAGGTTTTCTAAATTTTGTTGTCTGATGTAAGGTATCGCATTCTAGCCCTAAATTCATTGCAAAATATGGGTTTATGGGTTATTTTTAATCAGTCTGATGAAAACCCTTTGAAAAAAAAATAGTGAGACTGGCTTAATTGCAAGCATTGTGAATTAATATGTTAATTTTTGGTGACGTTTTGCCATGGGACGGCCATGATGTCCTGCCCATATCAATTTTTTTTTAATCCTCTCCTTAATGCACTATTATTCTTAAATTACAATATTATTATTAACAAACTAATTATAAATGCAAGTGTAGTGTTTTGAAAGACGTTAAGTTGCTCCTCTTTACTACTAGCATGCAAGGCACTCATTGATGAGCTGGAGTATGCCATTACAGAGGTGGAATCCCATAAAATGATTGATGTAGGAAGTTTCCGCATAAATCCTGATGGAACACAGACTCAGGAAAAGGTATTTATCTTGTGTTTTTTTTTTCTTATTTGAACAGTAATCTTTGGAAACTCCCTCAAATCTTTAATTAAAGCATTCAAAACAATGAAGTAAGTTTTCAACATTAAATTTAAACATAGGTCAAAGAAATATATTTTTCTTCTATGCAGACTGATTTTCCAACAAAAATTTTTTGATTTAATTTTTTTTTTTTTTAAGAAAGTGAAGGCTTCTCAACAGCTTCAATTTTTGTTTACCTTTTTCTGTAGGTACCATATGCAGGCTCTGAAGTGCACTTAATCGAGTTGTTTGAGGAAATCTGTGAGAAAATGAAAGATTATGCTTTGAGCACTGACCCAGTAACACAAAAACGAACTTACGTAAGATTCAATCAAAGAAAAGGAGAGGATGGATTAGAACTCAAGAATATCAGTATTGATGGGGAAACATCTAAACAATTAAAATATGCGGTTAGTATGGGTATGGTTTGAGAACAAATAAAGAGATTATCAACAATTTTTTTTTTTTTTTTTTCAAATTTTAATGCACAAAAGCCATTTGTAAAACAGAATGTTTCTGGGGTTAGATCTTACCTATATCATGTAGATCTCTTGTTTTGGGGTTTGTTCTGTAATTGATTGATTGGCAAGTCTCCATCATGGCTGACAGTTCGTGAATTCTGTGATGACACACCACCTACTGTATGTCGGATCGCAGCTATTTCATACTCTTTTCCGTACTATCTTATGTGAAACTTATTGCCTATCGGTTAACCCCATAACTTATGGATCTGTGTGTCTATATCGCAAGAGGTTGCAGCTTCCAATTCCTTCAGGGACACTTCTCATCTGAGAAAGGTCTGCTCACTGAAAAGCTATGCTTGATACGATTAAAAACATCGTACAGTATGTATGTTCCTATTTGATGTGTAGTGGTGTGTCTGTGCGCCCCCACACTCCGGACCCACAGACATGCCACTGGCCATAAGCTGAATGATCTGCATTTGCATTTACACAAAGTTGTCCCCTATCCGAGTCGCCCCCCCCCCAACCGAGTCGCCCCCACAAAGTCACCTCCTAACCAAGTTGCCCTTTGACCAATATTGATGATTATTAACTACCTTAACCTTCAAACCTGACGTAGAACTTATCAAGGCCTAGGCCTATTAGAGAGCTAGCTAGCTAGGCCGATAATTTGTACAAAGGGTTGAGTTCCTTCTTGCAGACCCCAGAGGTAAAAAGTCAAGTACAGTACATAGTTTTTCTTTTGCTTTTAAATCTTCTGTTTGTTGTAGTAGTTTGAGGACACGGCCTCTTGGAAGACCAATCTTTGTAAAAAGACTGAAATGAATTTCCGTAAATAAATAAAAACTTATTATTATTATTATTATATTTAGAAATATTTATTTCTGAATTATTCATAATAAAGGCTTATGCATGTTGTTTTCTTCACCTCAAGAGTAGCGTGGGAAGAATCTATTTGGAGAGCATTTCTTTCCACAATTTGTGCTCTAATTTTAATATGCAACTATACAAATAGGCCTAGCAAGTTGGGTGATTTAATCGGGCTTATGAATATAAAAGAAGCCTGAAATGGCCATTTATAATATAAATATATTGATAATTTTATATATCATAAATATGAAAATACTATATATCATTTATTTTCATTCAATATACATTATTCAGTATATTAATTTATTTATATGTATTATTATAAACATGATCAGAACTTGATCAGGACGACTTTGTAGGGGGCGACTTTCTAAGGGGCGACTTGACAAGGGGGTGACTTGACAAGGGGGCGACTTGACTGGATCCCATATAGCGCTCTACTTAACATAAGCGATTGGAATGGCTTCTTTGGATACTTAGCTTCCTGATGGAGTATTTCATAAAGTGGGGAGACTCAGGGGTGGATTTAGGGAGAGGGAACCTGGTTCTGCCACTGCCGCCTTTTATTTATTTAACAGAAAAAATACAAAATGGCATACAAAATACTACAATGTTTTGTATTGCATATATTGAACAACAATTATATCATAATATTAGATATTTATTTATCTCTATAATTATATTACATCTAGGCCTATTTCAAATTAGTACCCGCTCATTTAAACAGTTTTTGATAGTTGAGCACACAGTATGCAGTAAATGAAGTAAAACAGCTGGATCAGTTTGACTGCTAACCAATGCTGTGTAGATATACTCTTATTAGTTTTTACTTCTCTGGTATACAAATCTTACAACTATGCCAGAGGGCAATTCTGTCACTAATGGACAAATTACCAATGCCATTATTAGAATAGATACAGTATTAACATTAAAAATATCAAGAAATTTAATTTTTATTTACAATTCCAATACACTTTTAATATTATGATGAAGAATTCCCTTTTTTTTAATAGTTCCTATGCATGTAATGTAATAGGAACTATTGTAATCACTTTTCACTGTTTTCCCTGTGTGTAGTGTGTGCATGCGTATGTGTGTATAGACATTTATGCAAATGCGCATGCGTAAAAAAAAAAAGGTTTTCCGACATTTTGTTTTTCCTCTTTTCTGATGTCATTTATGATGACTTAATCAGAAAATATGGTTGGTTAAGTCATGTATCATGCATAGGAACGTTGATGCCTGCAAGGCTCTGGTTTTTCTTATTTTTTTCAGTGTCAAAATGTAATTGAGGATCACGAAGAGGAAATATTGGAAGTTTTTCGAGACAAGAAACCCAATAAGTCACATCATGTATGCAGTGTTATGTCAGGTTAGTGCAAAGTGTAGCATGGTGCCCAGCTTGTATTCTTAAAGTTAATGGTTCGATCAAAAAAAAAAAATCGTTCCTTCCAGAACCAAATTTTATTACACAATGCTCAGAGCAGAAGTTTGATTTTTTTTTTTTTTTTTTGATAAATAAGGTATATTTTGGTTAAAAAAGTTTTTTTGAATTTGAACTCCAGACTGTTCGATTATTATTGGTTACTCTAATAACTGCAGAATATATCAAGGCCAAGCTTGTATTTCCGTAGATTTTCTCTTAAAACAATCACAACACTAAAAATGATGCTCATGTCAGGTGTATGCCTGAGTTTTAATTTGCCATAACCATTGCTAAGCATGCAGGCAATATTATTTATGATGGAATAGTGACACATGTAGTAATAGATGTGAAGCAAACCATATGGAAAGATAGATTTACCAATACAGTTTATGAATAAAAATGAAAAAGAACTGAATCAAATTGACAAAGTTAAATTAACATGGTTGAGTTGTCTGTTGAGAGAGGGCTGTTGCATTGTATGTGTAATGCCTTTTTCATTTTCAGTTGGTATTTGAAAATGTATTTCTCAAGAAATTGTATAATGAGGAAGTTATTGATAAATAATATAATGCAATGTACCCCCATGTCCATAAAGAGGATAATTTTTATTTATTTTATTTTTTTTGAAAAACTGATTTAAAGGACAAATTTAAGGTTGATCTGCCCTGCCTGTTAAAAATGCACTGCCTATAGATTGGTGCTGTATTTCATTGAAAAAAAGTATTCTTAAGCAAACATGCACAATATACTCTTTATTTTCTATATCAATATAACATCCTTGCAACGCTTAATTCCAAAAAATTACATAATTTTCATTTTTTTTTTTTTTCAGAGCTTTGTTCAGATAATGGAGAACATGATGAGCTATGACTCATGAGGCAGATGCATTGCTTTAGAATAGATTTTTTAATCAAAAAAGGTCGATATACTCCATACATAAGTTATGCAAACACTGGTCTCCCTCTAATTGCAGTCTAATGAAAGACCACCTCCAATTAAAGACCACTTTTCCGCACCCCTAAATGAATGCCTATCTTATATATTTTTATAACATTTTTTTTCTAATTAAAATCCAAAGCTGCTAAAGACCATGACAATCTCCGGTCCCTAAAGGAGACCTGTATAGAATAGGTTTATTCAACTGGTTCATTTTGTTGACTACGATTTTTCGGTGAGTACTATTTTCATCCGACTGGTTCGTAAAACAGACTCCGTTGACAATAAAATTAACGTAAACCAGAATGCATTAAGGGTTAAGTTATCCACGTGACCAAAACAAACATGGCCGATTGGTCAGTATAGAAACAATGTTAGCGTTAATATAAGTCAGATTACATTTCTGAAAGTAAAAATTTTGATATTTACCAACATGAAGTCAAAAATGGTGGCTTAGTTAGGGGGGTCAAGGGGGCACATGCCCCGGGCGCCAGGTTTGAGGGGGCGCTGAAATGGGAGAATGAGAGTAAAAAAGTAAGCACTTTTTAGAAAAAGATGACGAAATTTATTTATTTAAATTTGTCAGGCATGAATGTTTTCCAGTTAATAATAAGAATCTGAATGTAGTTGTTTTTATTGGCAAATTTAGAGATTGTGATTTCTTTTCAGTCCATTTTTACCATTTTCTCTCGTTTTTTTTTATCCTATTCTGTAATAACTACATGACTAAAGCTGATCCTGCCATATCTCAGAGCCACGATGGGAAAAGCGAGACTATCTGCTTTGGCCTTAGTATTGAGCGTGAATCTAAGCAGACAACATTGCTAACTTTGATCATGTTATTAACTTATTAGCTGATACAAAGCACACAAAAGTTGCGAGTTTAAACAATGTTAAAAATTCAGCAACTTACAAGACTCTACTATAAGAGAAATTTAGAGAATAAGAATACAAAGCTGTATGCGATAAATACAACAGCCTTACAAATTATCCTAATTTGTAAGGCCGTTGTATTTATCGCATACAACAGCCTAATTTGTGAGGCTGTTGTATGCAAAAATACAACAGCCTTACAAATTAGGATGATGGTAAATTTGTATACAAAGTTCCGAACATTGTAATGCAGTTTCAATATTAAGAAACAGGGGTGGCGCTGGCCCCCCTTCGGGTATAGCTACGTCACTGGTCAAAAAAAAAATTGTAGGCTAATAGAATTTAAAAACTGGATGAAAACTTTTTTACGAAAAATCTATACTGCCACAAGCCGAAACAATCTTGATTATACGCAGCGTGTATCGCGGGAACTATGCAGCCATTTTGTTTTGTCGAGTATTTACAAGTTTTCTATTCGACTGGTCGTCGTCGTAGCAGGTGGGCGTGGTTTAACAAAGAACAACCTGTCGAATACGCCTAATGTATTCTGTCTATACCTGTTCATGCCTATGAAACCATGCTCTGCATGGCTCTACTAAGAACATTGTGGCCTGGTTCACACTAGAGCGTTTTGATCCTGATCAGAAGCTAACCGTTAGCTTAACCATTAGCACTGCGTATGAAAATGCCCAATTGGGATAAGCTGCTAGTGGTTCAGGGGCAGATCCTAAATTTTTCAAACGGGGGGGGGGGGCCCACAACATATTCAGAATAGATAATTGAGAGCACTAATTACAATATCTGCCTTGAAATTTCAAAATATATTGGCAAAATGGGGTGGGGGCGTGTCCCCCTTCTGGATCCGGCCCTGTGGTTAGCAAATTGACCTCATTTTTATAAACAGCCAATCAAATGCTAGCATTTCCTATTTGCAACCAACCAATTTTTACCCAAAATCGACGATGTTTCAGCTGTCCTCGCGTATGTAATATATTTTATTGTTTTTTGTATTCAGTGCTGTGCAATTTTGAGCTGGTGAACCATGTTTAACCATCGCCTTCCGGAGACTATTAAGTATGGTACTCATAGACTAAAAATCTACAATTGTGTACCGTACAGTAGTGTTAATTATTCAAAACATACTAAAATCTATCACAATATTCTGAAGGACGTTTTTCCATTCATAGAAATCTATGAAACAACAGTCTTTAAATACAGTACTTACTGATACTACAACACTCGCTTTTTGGTTCAAAATGTCAAAAATAATTTCATGTTTGAATGGTAAGGTTACCTTGGATTTATCCATTTAGATAATACTAAACGTCAGGTGTTGTGTGTGAACATAGCTTCAGAGATTTTCATGAAATATACTAAGATATATTATGTATTGAACACTTCTATAAACATTCCTTACTTTGATACTTAAATAAAAATGAAGATTTTGTGATCTATTTAAGAATTCCAAGAAATATTGTGTTTGATTTTTACCGCAATGTGTACCGATGCATTCTTATTTTGTACAATTTAGAGTGTTATTTATATATAAACACACAGACAAGAGGCTCTAAAAAGTAATATATTTATAGATTAATATGCATTTGTTAGTGACAAGCTTGGAGAACATTTATTAATCTGAGAATAATCGTTATACAATACATCAAGCACCAAACGGTACCTATAATAGTATTACCTAACGGTTGTAACTAAAAACGCCACATTAATTTAAATAAATGTGTAGATTTATCAAATGCTGCCCAACAGTTTTAACCCATTTCAATATGATTTAAATATGTGTGAATTTATCAACTACTGCTCAACATTTATAACCCTCCCCACTATAATTTAATTTAAATAAATGTATATATTTATCAACCACTGTTGCTGTATTAACTTAGTTATTTTGAGGGAATATACTTCTCGCTATATATGGTTGATCAGTAAATTAAAATCTGTTAATGAAGACGATGCAGTATTAAGGCCATTATCTTAAGTAAAGCCTGTTTTCCATGAAATCTCTACATGCCGTCGCCGATAGATTTTGGCGACGTAGATTGGTCCGTCGAATATGACTGCAGTTAAACGATGAACCTTATTAGTTGATCCATGGTTGAAACACTGTAGCGATTTTATGTTCACATTAAGTCTTCATTTTGTTAATTGACATCTTGAACACGTGTCCAAGTATCATCATTAAATAATGCATCTAGATGAGTAAAATAAATGAGTTATCTTTGTGGTTTAATTTTTTTTTTTTTTTGACACTGAAATCATTAGCGGCCTCCGTTTAAAGACCCTGGATTAGAACAATGTTACCCCGCCTTAGTATAATCGTGGTAATCAATGAGGGCACACTCAAATTCTAACTAGACAAATTTTAGCTTAGCGAGGCGTCGTCACCGTCAGATTTCTGTCTGACAGTGCTGTATTCAAGAATTTGGGCGGGCGTGTTTTTTTGTTTGTTTTTATTAGTTTTCGATGGGTCCTTGATTAAAATTTCTATTCCGGAGATGTCTGGATAGTTCTGTGCAATTCTGATAATCTAAATCCGAAGAACAAATGCGTCTCATATGAAATGCTTGGCTGTACTGAATGATTTTGGTACAGTGCGGGGATGACAGCTGCTAGGGAGCAGGTACATGTTCATCCATGGGTTTACAGAAAAGGTCTGTTTTAAGTGCACCATTTTCCATAGTCACAATGATGTCCAACAAGTCTACACTGCTTGTGCAGGCCCGTAGCCTGGTTCTTCCAAGGTGGGGGGGGGGGGGATTTCTGGGCGTGAGGTCCACGGTCGAAGCCCCGGTGGGGTCGGCGAAACCCCCAAAGCAAGAGGATTTTTGTGCTTTATGGGTCTAAATAATGCTATAAAAGCAGATATGTTTGAAAATGTCTGTGTCTGGGTGGGTCTGTAGTGCATTAGTTGGGATGGAGGATTTAGTTGGGAAAGTTAAAGAGGGGGTTTTGCCAGAAAAGAGGGGGAGGGTGTTTGCTAGAAAAGGGGTTCTCCCGAACCATAACCACCCCCCCCCCACCTTGATACGGGCCTGTTGTGGATCTATTAGCAGGGAATTTGATTGTAGGATGAGCCGAATTAATGTTCAATAGGAACGTATCCAAACTATCTTCACCATGGGTCCAGATCATGAAGATATCACAAATGTAACGAAACCAAACATGTGGTTTCTTGGGCTGTAGGGATAGGAAGTTGTCTCGTAACTAAATTAAAAGATGGAGCCATTTTTTAGCCCATCGTTGTGCCATGAATTTGGAGATGATAATGACCGACGCCGAAAACAAAATTATTATTTGTCAGAATCAGGATTATTATGAATAATTCATGAGATTTTACCAAACTATCCTATGTCCGACAATCAATAGACGACGTCGCGTCGTCTACCGCTCACAGGGAGCGGAGTTGGATTCGTCGTCCGTGCGACGCAGTAAGTGCCCGGCTTAACGTTCCAGAATATCATATTCAACATATCAACTATAAAAACAGTATTAGTAGAACGGCTAAGGAGAAAAATCGTGCACTTTTGGTAGAAAGCATGAAACTTCCCACAGTGATACTATGACACCTAAGGATCATTAAAAAAAATAGACCCCCAAAAATAAGCCGCTTAGTGGCCGCCATCTTGAAATTCAAAATGGCCGCCAATATATTTTTATCAATAATCTTCATATCTACAGCACCTAGCACTGTCATTCAAAGGTCTTTACCTATGTTTTCAATATCAGGGAGTATTATGCAATCATAAAAAATTATGTCAGATGGTCGCCATATTTGATTTCAGGATGGCTGCCAAAATATTGTTATTTTTGTCATTATCTTCATATCTACAGTAACGTAACAGAGTCAATCACACCGTTAACCATGTTTTTAATATCAGAGAGTATCATACAATCATCAGGAAATTATGTTAGAAGGCCGCCATATTGGATTTCAAGATGGCTACCAATGAAAGTTCATTTTTCAGTTGTGTGAAAAAGTTTCTCGAACGTGTAGCCACTTACTATCTTCCTTCATACCATTACTTGAATTTGATATTTAATTTATTTCTACATAATTTCATTTATTCTAAAGTTATCTATATACTTTTCTTAATTTTTCTTGATGTTTCTTTTATTTCTTTAAACTTTCTCCATCATATTCATTTTCTATTCTTTTTTATTTTTTTTCCCTTTCCAGTTTTTTCTTTCTTCTTTTAAATGGTGTTACTTTACTGACAGAGTCAGGTCTCACTATGATTATGAGATGTTTGATGATTGCATGATATCCCTAATTATAAATATACACAATCTTGATTCACAGTGCTGGTGCTGGTACTCTACATATGTAAATATGGAAAAAAATATATTTTGGCCGCAATCTTGATATCCAATATGGCAGCCATCTTGAAATTCAATATGGCGGCCTTCTGACATAATTTCTGATATCTGCATGATACTCCCGGATATCGAAAACACGAGTAGAGATCTTTGACAGTGCTAGGTGTTGTAGATATGACGATATTTACAACATTATCAATAATTAATTTGGCGGCCATTTTGAAATCTAGTATGGCAGAAATTTTGAAATTCAATGGTGGCATTCTGGCATAATTTCTGATGATTGCATGACACTCCCTGATATTGAAAACATGGGTAATGATCTTCATTTGGCAATGACATGTGCTGTAGATATGAATATATTGGCTAAAATCAAATATTTTGGCGGCCATATTGGATTTTAAGATGGTGGCCATTAGGAGCCGTTATTCTTTGGGGTCTATTTTTTTTTTTTAATGATCTTTAGGTGTCATAGTATGGGAAGTTTCATGCTTTTTTTCCAGAAGTGCCCGATTCTACCTGAAATTCAACCTTAGCCGCTCTACTATATGATGATATTAATTATCTAATATCAAACACGATGTGAATCTGCAAATGTTTGCCTTAGATTCAATAACAAAATATCCATACATTATACCAATTACTTAAATGTCAAATTATGTTATTTACAATATCGACGTATTTAATGCCATCTGTGTTCGAAATATAAAAAACATGATGTAAATCTGCCTTATAATCACACAAACAATACATCCATACAGATTTATTACAAGTAATTACTTTATTGTCATTTTTTAGTACATTAAAAATAAAAGCCGATTGAGCCATTATTTCCTGAAATAGAAGTGCTATTATAGTGATGATGAAATTAAATTATCGCCTACGTACTGCTTTTATTGGTGAGGTACCTAAAAGTGATAATAGAAATGAATTATCCATATGCAAACTTACGGTATTGTTTGAAAAATATAAATAGACCTAAAGTTTACAATTTTATGAAATACTTGTTCATTTAAGCACTGACATTACACCAATCATGGCTTGCACACGGTAAGTACAGTACCGTACATTTCAATTCAGTAGTAACTGAATCCTATTACATTTAGAATTAACGAACATTAGAACAGTGTTTTTTTGTCTTTTGTGAGGATCACCCACCTTTATTTATTCTCTCTTTTTTCATGATTTTAAATTTTTCGTTTTCTCTCCTATTCTACTGTACCAATATTTACATATGTGTTCACAATTCACAACAATTATGTGTTACAACAATTTTGATAATTTTCCTAATTTCGAAAGTTTCTATCTTATTTTTAATATTGCATTCTAGAATAATGCACTCCTAATTTAAAGTCAAAGAATGATGAAGTATTTGCCTTCAGAATATACTGTAATTATTAGTGGACTTGGTGCTGAAATTACCCTATTGTACTTGTATAAGTCCTTTTCTTTTCTCAAGCCTGGTTCAATAATAATTCTGTTGTACATAAAGTATAAAAAGTTAAACTTTATCTCTTATTTAAATAATAATAATAATAATAATAATAATAATAATAATAATAATAATAATAATAATAATAAATTTGCAATTTGTATAGCGCCTCCCGTATATTTGTTTGGTTTGGAGTATTAAAATAATACACAATAAAATTAGTAATAATTACTACACCTAGCTCGCACACTCTTAGAAAAAAGGGGTGCTTAAGGGGTTCTTCATTGTCCTCTATATAGAACCCCTGTAGCACATTTAAAGGTTCGAAAAGGAGAAAAATAGGTTCGCTAAAGGGTCCTTCGAACCATTTTAAGTTCGTTAAAGTGTTTTGAGAACTATTTACAGAGTCCTTCGAAATAAAGAACCTTTTTACTTTGGGGGTTCCATATACAGGACAGCCAAAAACCTCTGAAGAACCATTATTTTGTTATACGTTTGAATTCAATTGTGTATTGTTTTGTCGGTCTACTTTCACCAGATCCTTAGACCAGCAACAATCGTAACGTGCTGAAATCCACTTCGATGTAGACGAACAATACGTTCGGGAAGATATAGAGATAGCTGTCCTTTCATTATTTGAGTATGATTTACAGTAATTTGGGGACAGTGAAATTAATCATGAATCAATTCATTTTGATTCCCTTGGCGGTCATAACCAACGTGTAGTCCAAGTACCGCAATAAATAAAATATTGCATTCACACCAGGGCGCAGATCTGTTTTGAAAGGTGGGGGGGGGCGGGGGCATTCCGTTAGACCACAAACACTTCGGCCCCACCATGGTTGGGGCTGAGGTGCGAAAATTTGAGGAAATAGTATTCTATAGATGACCGGAAATGACACTTAGTAAAATTCATCATCATGATTAGCGATTTTCGGCAACCATGATCTAATTCACAATATGTGTGATGTATTAACTTTGAAATTGTCTGTAAAGTATTTAATTTACTTTACCTACTTCAAACCGTGAGGTCAAATCCAACGTAGCCCCACCATGGTAGGGGCTGAGGGGCGAAAATTTGAGAACATAGTACCTCTAGACGGCCGGAAATGACACTCTTATAAATAGTATAATTTATCATCATCACATCACCCTTATATTCAAAACGAAGAGCCAGCAAAATTCTCATGATATTTTATCTAGAGCTTTCGGGAGTCATTGAATTCTAAATAATCTGTGTGATGTACCATAGTTAATTAACTTTGAAATTTTGTCTTTGATGTATTTATTTTACTTTACCTACTTTAAACCGTGACTTCAGACCCACCTCATCCCCCACCATGGTTAGGGCTGAGATGCGAAAATCGTACCTCTAGATGGACGGAAATGACACTCTAATATAGTAAAATTCATCATCATCACATCACTTCAAAATAAAGCGCCAAGAAATTTCTCATGATCTTTTATCTATAATTTTCGGCAGTCATAGAGATCTAAATAATCTGTGTGATGTACCATAGCAAATATAACTTAACTTTACTTTACCTACTTAAGCTGCGAGTCCACACCCATCTAAGCCCCGTCATATTGGGGCTGAGGCGCAAAAATGTGGGTAAATTGTACCACAGATGGCCGGAAATGACACTTTTATACAGAAAAATTCATTATTATCACATCACCATTATAATCAAATGAAACACCAACATATTTTTCATGATCTTTTATCTAGAATTTTCGGCAAATCACATCAGAGATCTAATTAATCCCTGCGATCGCAACATAGAAAATAAAACTTAATTTTCCTTGATGTTTTACTTTACTTTATAACGTGCCGAAAACCAATTTTATCTTATTAAAAATTGAATTACATTTGACGGATTTGATTACTTCTTCCAGATTTTGTACGTACCGCCCGGTACATTACAGTAATAATAGGCCTACATAACAGTTTACTATCAAAATCAAGGAGATCAGTGCTGCTACCGTTAGACAAATTGAGAACTGCCTTTTTGCTTCTTTGGTTACAGTATTTAAAAGAGAATTGGTATCTACATTCTGGATTTTTCCAGTTTGCTTTTGGTTCATCGAATGAGTGTGATATTTTTATTCCAATATTGGTAAAATAGTCGTTAAAAGCTTCGCAGTTTAAATTTGGATTAGTAATATTTTTGTTTATATTTTTTTTTCCCTGTTGTTTTCTTCATCTCATCCCACAACTTTTTTTTTTGGGTCGTTCATATGTTGATGTTCGATTTCAGCAAAATAATCAATCTTTGCTTTTCTTGATTACTAGTGACGTCATTTCTTAATTTTCTATAGGCCTTAGCGTCTAAGTGTTGTTTTGTTTTGTGCTTGTCTGACAGTCTGCATGATCTCGTTGGTACAACGATTGAATAATATCTGGTGTTATCCATGGTGACAATCTATTTTTTATTCTCATTGATTTTAATGGGGCATGTCGTTGTTCCAAACATAGTTAATATTTTCATTACCAATTATAAATAAGTCATTTATTTCGTAACTTTCATGTAATTCTTTGTTGAAAGATTCTATATCAAAATCTTTATAATTTCTAAATAATGTGTAGTAGTAGTAGTAGTAGTAGTAGTAGTAGTAGTGGTAGTAGTGGTAGTAGTGGTAGTAGTGGTAGTAGTGGTAGTGGTGGTAGTGGTGGTAGTGTGCATTATGAAGAACCCAGTACATCCTTCGAGACGAGTGTACCGGAACAGATAGCTCCTGTGGTGGACGACGAGAGTTGCTGGTACCCGGTTACCGGGTAGCACAGACACGAAGGGACCCTTAGGGGCGAAGAAAGTCATTGGTCGAGTTCCTAGTCCACATCTCAAGCGCCCTGAGCATCTTGCATTAGATGGATGTGCGCTATATAAAACTACACTATTATTATTATTAGTAGTAGTAGTAGTAGTAGCAGTAGTCGTAGTAGTAGTAGTAATATTAGTTCTCTAGGCCTACTGTTGTTCTTCTTTAGACACTGCGCCTTGAGCATCAATGTTGGTGGCGATGTTTCCTCTTTACAAAATCGTTATTATTATATTATTATTAGTAGTATAGTAGTAGTAGCAGGAGCAGCATTAGCGGTAGCAGGGGCAGGGGAGGCGGTGGCGGAGGTAGTAGTAGAAATGAATAGAAATCCGCGGCGCATAAATTTAAATCAAAAACAAAATAAATCATTACTTAAAAAATAGGAACAGTTCAAATTCAAAAAAAAAAATTAAATAAATTCGCCTAATGGAAAACCGCACTAATGACGTGCGTTTGTAGGTCCTACCAGGTGTAGGAACAAATGCGTATCTCTGGGCTTGTGTGTTGGTCAGTAATGTTGTATTGTTGATAGACTCTCCGAAATAAGCCAATTCGTATTTTCAACTGCGGATGCGCTTATTACGAAGGTCAATCGACACAACGTACACACAGCATAAGCTTATACCGATTGACCTCGAATAAGAGCATGCACAATTCAAACTACGAATCGGCTTATTTAATGGACCTTAATTGCACTGCCAACGACAATCAACAGACGGCGTCGCGTCGTCTAAAGGCCAACTCAGACAGCGTCGGCCGACGCAGCCCGACCCGATTTGTTGTCGCGTCGGGTCTGTGTGAGTTAAACGCAGACGCGATGGTGTGCGTCGGGGGCAGTCGCGTAGTAGAATATTAAACATGTTTAATATTTCTCACGATTGTTTAACACTGTCCTAGACGATAAATCGCGTCGGGTTGCGTCGTACGACGCTGTTTAAGTTGGCCTTAACTCTCACAGGGAGTTGTGCGGCGGTCGTACAACGTAGTGAGTACTTTCAAAAGCGATAGTAATATTAATTCGTTAAAAAGATCTTCCCGTATATACGGCAGAATATTATTGCAGACAATGTATATTTTTATTTTAGTACCCTGAAAGTGTTGGCTGTATTCCTGATAGTGTGTGTTCTGACTGAATATGTTTTTGCTGCCGCCTTACCTGTTGAAAACGGTAGGTTTTACATCGCAAGTCAAGATGCGATTGTTTAGAAATATTTAATTTTATTATTTTATAACCAACTTAATTGAAATTTTGTCTTTTCCTTTTAAAAAATCCAAAAATATTTTAGTGTTTTATCGTTCTCTTTCATGTCGTGTTTTCTTTTATTTCAATGTAGATTTTTGATGTGCTATAAATGGTATTGTGATTTTGTGATGATTAGGCCTATATGTTCCATTTTTTTAAAAACTTTTATTGTATATTTCTTATGTATTTTTTAAATTTTTTTTTGTAAATGTATATTTTAAAATTCTGTACAGCGCTGGTGATCATTTTAAATGGATATTGTTTTGCGCTTTATTAAATAAAGTTATTAAAAGGCATATGCTTCTTTATTTTTTGTTAGGAGCAGGTATGTAAATAATAGGCTAACGACTTTGCTGATAATAATGGTATAGTACCGGTATTAATCGATGATGATCGAGATGATGAAGATATGATTGGAATACAGTATTTCGTTTGTTTAATGATTGGTTGATGTACCGTCTTTATTTCTATAAGTGACGCCCTACATATCAGCTCTTCTGAAAGGGCGACTCTCTTAAAATAATATATTATTGAAATAATAAAAATACCATGAATATTTTTTAAGCTATGGTGTCATTTGAGCTTTATCTTTGGGTTGTGTTCATCTGCGTCTGTTTTAATACGTTTACGTTGTTTGTATTATTTTATGTAACTGAAAAATAATAAGATATAATATGATAATATATCAAATAAGCCTATGCTTCTTTTTATTATTATGTCTTGTAGGAGCAGGTATGTGAATAATAAGCTAACGACGGTGCTGACAATAATGGTATAGTATTAATAAGATGAAGTTGATGATGGAGATGATGACGAAGATATGATTGGAATACAGTATTTCGTTTGTTTAATGATTCTTTGATGTACCGGTTTTAGTTCTCTAAGTGAACCCTACATATATATAAATAAATATTCATGCATAACTATCATCCCATACCATGAATATTTTCCTAACTATGGTGACATTTCACCTTTTCCTTCGGGTTGTCTTCATTTGTGTCGATTGCCCAGTCCCCAATTTTCATTGTGGTATTTTAGATGTGCTGTTTTTTTTGGTTTTTTTTTGCTTTTTTTTTCTTTTTCATCATGATTGTCATTTTATTCTAAATGTTTTTAAAGACGAAATAAATTATATGGTATTATTGGTGGATCCAGGAATTAGAAATAGATGGAGGGTTTATACCACCACAGTCTCCACCATGTGGGGCTGAGGTAAGACAATTAATGGCACCTTTAGATGGCCGGAAATGGCCATTTGAACATAAATAATTTTCGTTTTATCTCATTTTTTTTGTTACAATTTTGACAAAGCCGGCTTACCCCTTCCCCCACCCCATTTAACCCATCTCTGGATATAATATATATGTCTTACAGTCGATGTCAGAGACATATTATGCTGTCATTTATCAACAAAGCTCTTTTGGGTCAGGGTGTGCTGACCGAGGACCTTACGGGTAGGAGCCACTTCGGGGCCCGGGGGTCGAGGCCCTGTGTAGCGCCGCACGAGAACGCATACTGGTGTTGATGATAATTATAATAACTACTATATTGGCTTTTTATTCTCATCAGCAAATGCGTGTATGCGTGTTCAATATAAACCTTGAAGTAATATCAAAGATAATAAATAGCAGAAGATAGAGCAGCTTCCCAATATAGTGGAACATCCGTTCCAAAGGCATTGTGGGTACACGGAGAGCAATTTTACCTCGTCCGCGCGGCGGCGCTATATAGCAATAATAAACAGCAATGAAGGCGCCGCTCTGGTTCGTTGGTTTCCTGTAGTTTCTCCACTTAGTAAAATTTTCAAATTTTACCCCATTCGCGGGAGGGCGGATGTTCCATCAATTTTAATACAAATACGCGGAGCAGCTCATTCTTCTGCTATTTAAGTTCTTCGGTAATATTTGCTTAATATTCAATTTATCGCTGTTGTTGGCATTTGCCATTTTATTATATTACTCTTTTTTCTTCTTACTTCGGACACCTTGAGTTGCAAGCTCTTTCGAGATTTTTTTTTTTCATATAATAATATATTAAATAGGCCTATGCTTCTTTTTTTTTTGTCTTGTAGGTCAACGAGGTATGTGAATAATAGACTAACGACTTTGCTAATAATAATGGTATAGTATTAATAAGATGAAGATGATGATCGAGATGATGAAGATATGATTGGAATACAGTATTTCGTTTGTTTAATGATTCTTTGATGTAGGCCTACCGTCTTTATTTCTCTAAGTGACCCCTACATATCAGCTCTTCTGGAATGGCGACCCTCTTAAAAAACACCTAAAGTAATATAAATAAATAATCATGCAAAACTATCATCTCATACCGTGAATATTATCCGAGCTATGGTGTCATTTGAGCTTTCTCTTTGAGTTGTCTTTATCTGCGTCTGTTTTAATACGTTTACGTTCTTTGTATTATTTTATGTACATGACGAAAAAATGATATATGATACGGTAATATACGGTATTAAATAGGCTATGCTTCTTTGTTTTTATTTGTATGTCTTGTAGGAGCAGGTATGTGAATAATAAGTTAACGACGGTGCTGACAATAATGGTATAGTATTAATAAGGTGAAGTTGATGATGGAGGTGATGACGAAGATATGATTGGAATACTGTATTTCGTTTGTTTAATGATTCTTTGATGTACCGTTTTTAGTTCTCTAAGTGACCTCTACATATAAGCTCTTCTGGAAGGACGACCCTCATAAAATGTTATTAAAATAATATAAATATATAATCATGCATAGCTATCATCTCATACCGTGAATATTTTCCTAGCTATGGTGACATTTGACCTTTCTATTCGTTTTGTCTTCATCTGTGTCTGTCTTACAGTCGATGTCAGAGACATATTATGCTGTCATTTATCAACAAAGCTCTTTTGGGTCAGGGTGTGCTGACCGAGGACCTTACGGGTAGGAAGCACTTTGTGGCCCGGGGGTCGGGGCCCTGTGTAGCGCCGCACGAGAACGCATACTGGTGTTGCACTACTGGTGTTTCCCATGTACATGTCTCTGGGCCCTTCCACTTACGTATTCTGGCCTTTGATAGTCTAGTATCTATGAATAATAATCTATGAAAAGCTGCCGCGGTGCCTGGTGTCCTGGACTAAACACACGATATGCAAAGACTTTTTGTGTAAACCATCCTTGGTTCATAATTTTAACCTACAGCTTACAATTTCAGATAGGCCTAATAAAGATAATTTGTATTATAATTATTAACATGAACATGTTCTTTCTTATAACACGTGTTTAATGTAAACATTTAGTAATGAAATAAGTAAAGTTAATGTCAAAAGTTTTATTCAATTTCGTCTTGTAGAGCAAAGTAGAATTCGGCGACATCTTCCACAGGGTGAGTAGTGTTCGAGGTAATGACAATGTTAATAATGATGATGATAATGATAATAACTACTGTATTGGCTTTTTATTCTCATCAGCAAATGCGTGTATGCGTGTTTAATGTAAATTGAAGTAATATTTGCTTAATATTCAATTTATCGCTGTTGTTGGCATTTGTCATTTTATTATATTGCTCTTTTTTCTTCTTACTTCGGACACCTTGCGTTGCTAGCTCTTTCGAGATTGTTTTTTTTCATTTAATAATATATTAAATAGGCCTATGCCTCTTTATTTTTTGTCTTGTAAGTCCACGAGGTATGTGAATAATAGGCTAACGACTTTGCTGATAATAATTGTATAGTATTAATAAGATGAAGATGATGATCGAGATGATGAAGATATGATTGGAATACAGTATTTCGTTTGTTTAATGATTCTTTGATGTAGGCCTACCGTCTTTATTTCTCTAAGTGACCCCTATATATCAGCTCTTCTGGAATGGCGACCCTCTTAAAAAACACCTAAAGTAATATAAATAAATAATCATGCATAACTATCATCTCATACCGTGAATATTATCCGAGCTATGGTGTCATTTGAGCTTTCTCTTTGAGTTGTCTTTATCTGCGTCTGTTTTAATACGTTTACGTTCTTTGTATTATTTTATGTACATGACGAAAAAATGATATATGATACGGTAATATATTAAATAGGCCTATGCTTCTTTGTTTTTATTTGAATGTCTTGTAGGAGCAGGTATGTGAATAATAAGCTAACGACGGTGCTGACAATAATGGTATAGTATTAATAAGATGAAGTTGATGATGGAGATGATGACGAAGATATGATTGGAATACAGTATTTCGTTTGTTTAATGATTCTTTGATGTACCGTTTTTAGTTCTCTAAGTGACCTCTACATATCAGCTCTTCTGGAGGGACGACCCTCATAAAATGTTATTAAAATAATATAAATATATAATCATGCATAGCTATCATCTCATACCGTGAATATTTTCCTATCTATGGTGACATTTGACCTTTCTATTCGTTTTGTCTTCATCTGTGTCGATTGCCCAGTCCCCAATTTTCATTGTGGGATTTTAGCTTTGCTCGTTATATCTCTCGATATAATATATATATGTCTTACACAGGTAACGATAACAATTAAAGTACAGTTGTAATAACTTATAGGCCTACAGTAAATTGCGCAATATAAGAATGAATTATTATTATTATTATTATTATTATTAACGACCACAGTAACTTATATGGATAATTAAAATGCCTAAACTGTATATAGGCCTATTTTTTAATATATAAATATCAGAAAATCGTTGTCGCACACTAAGACCACAATAAAATTAATATCATTGTAAAAGTCTAATCACACAGAAAAATCATTATTTAAATATTGAAATTGTATTCATGAAAAATTTAAAAAAAAATTTAAACCGTCTGTATATATTGTTTACATTTTGTCTAACTGTATAGAGGAAAGATGAAGAAATCTACTTCAGTGAAAAAAAAACAAAACAAATCTGTCTCATTATATTTTTTTATTTGCCAAACAATTATTACTGTATAAGATATTATTGGTCTACTTAATAAAATTAGATGCTGAAAATGTCAATCTGAGCTTTAATAATACAATGTGAAAATATATGTTATTGAATCGATCTTCCTAACTGGGCCCGTCGGTTGCGTCGACCCTTTGTCACTGGCCCTAGCATAATTATGAGTAGTCTACCCTGACTAGCCTAGCAATGATGTAGGAACAAAAAGCAACAGAAAATATTTCAAACCTACCGCTAATATCACATAAAAGGTCACTCTTTCTCAATCGGAAATTACGCCGGTGGGTTTTTTCTTTTATTTTTTTAAATTTTTTTTTTTATGGTGCTTACGCTTACCTCAATTTCTTCAGCAATTTGTTTATTCGTATAACCCATCACTACCAAAGCTTCTAATTTGTCTCTAGTAGCCATGGTTGACAACTGTGCTATAGGCCTTTATAGCGGTAATAACGATGAATAGACAAGCCTAGGCTACTGTATTTACGACAAGTATGCCTATGATCATATAACGTTCCTATTTGTGTTTTAGTCCCTTTTTTTTTTGTGCTGTTGTGTTGTGAAATTATTAAGAAAAATTGAATTATGTTTTCTTGGTTTTTTTTTTTTTTTTTTTTTTTGTATTCATTTATTTTGTTGTTTAGTTTAATTTTGACGACAAAATTGGCGTTCCATACAATATCGCCAAAAGTCAAGTGGCGCAGTGCAAAAGTCAAGTGGCGCAGTGCAGAAGTCAAGTGGCACAGTACAAAAGTCAAGTGGCGGCGCACGCATTTTGAGTTTGCACTGCGCCACTTTATTTTTGCACTGTGATTGTTGTTTGTCCTTTTGGCGTGATATCGCCAAATGGACAACCACAAGTGGCGCAGTGCAAAAGTCAAGTGCAGTGCAAAAGTAAATTGGCGCAGTGCAAACTTCAAGTGGCACAGTGCAGAAGTCAAGTGGCGCAGTGCAGAAGTCAAGTAGCGGCACACGCATTTGGATTTGCACTGCGCCACTTTAGTTTTGCACTGTGCCACTCGACTTTCGCACTGTGCCACTTTAATTTTGCACTGCGCCACTTGTGGTTTGTCCTTTTGGCGTTCCATAGTGTTGCACAACTGGTGTTTCCCATGTACATGTCTCTGGGCCCTTCCACTTACGTATTCTGGCCTTTGATAGTCTAGTATCTATGAATAATAATCTATGAAAAGCTGCCGCGGTGCCTGGTGTCCTGGACTAAACACACGATATGCAAAGACTTTTTGTGTAAACCATTCTTGGTTCATAATTTTAACCTACAGCTTACAATTTCAGATAGGCCTAATAAGGATAATTTGTATTATAATTATCAACATGAACATGTTCTTTCTTATAACACGTGTTTAATGTAAACATTTAGTAATGAAATAAGTGAAGTTAATGTCAAAAGTTTTATTTAATTTCGTCTTGTAGAGCAAAGTAGAATTCGGCGACATCTTCCAGAGGGTGAGTAGTGTTCGAGGTAATGACAATGTTAATAATGATGATGATAATGATAATAACTACTGTATTGGCTTTTTATTCTCATCAGCAAATGATTTGCTTAATATTCAATTTATCGCTGTTGTTGGCATTTGTCTTTTTATTATATTACTTAGTATTCGGACACCTTGAGTTGCAAGCTCTTTCGAGTTTTTTTTTTTTTTTTTTTTTTTCATATAATAATATATTAAATAGGTCTATGCTTCTTTATTTTTTGTCTTGTAGGTCAACGAGGTATGTGAATAATAGGCTAACGACTTTGCTGATAATAATGGTATAGTATTAATAAGATGAAGATGATGATCTAGATGATGAAGATATGATTGGAATACAGTATTTCGTTTGTTTAATGATTCTTTGATGTACCATCTTTATTTCTCTAAGTGACCCCTACATATCAGCTCTTCTGGAAGGGCGACCCTCTTAAAAAAAACTCCTAAAGTAATAAATAATCATGCATAACTATCATCTCATACCATGAATATTATCCGAGCTACGGTATGGTGTCATTTGAGCTTTCTCTGTTTTAATACGTTTAGGTTCTTTGTATTATTTTATGTACATGACGAAAAATGTTATAATATGATACGGTAATATATGAAATAGCCCTATGCTTCTTTATTTTTATTTTTATGTCTTGTAGGAGCAGGTATGTGAATAATAAGCTAACGACGGTGCTGACAATAATGGTATAGTATTAATACGATGAGGTTGATGATGGAGAGGATGACGAAGATATGATTGGAATACAGTATTTCGTTTGTTTAATGATTCTTTGATGTACCGTTTTTAGTTCTCTAAGTTCCCTACATCAGCTCTTCTGATTGTTATTTTATTCTAAATGTTTTTAACGGCGAAATAAATGATATCATACCAGTGGGGAATCCAGGAATTTGAAATAGATGGAGGGTCTATTCAACCCAGCCCCAAACATGTGGGGCTGAGGTAAGACATTTTATTATTTTGGCACCTTTAGATGGCAAGAAATGGCCATTTGAACATAAATAATTTTCGTTTTATCTCAATCTTCTTTTTTGTTTTTGACAAATTTAGTGGGGATGTTGGCTGACTCACCACAACCCCCCCCCCCCATTTAACCCGTCACCGGATATAATATGATATGTCCTACAGTCATGTCAGAGACACATTATGCTGTTATGTATCAACAAATCTCTTTTGGGTCAGGTTGCTAGACCGAGTACCGTATGGGTAGGAACCTTTTCGGAGTTACCTGGGGTCGGGGGCACTGTGTGTCACCGCGTGAGAGCGCATACTGGGGCTGCACCACTGGTGGGTCCATGTACATGTCTCTGGGCCTGTCTACTTAGGTTTTCTGGCCTTGGATAGTCTAGTATCTATGAATAGTCAAGCTTCTTTTTTTTCTTTTTTTTAAATTATTATTATTATTATTATTATTAATTTTTTCTGGGGTCTGTCTTTTAAAAATTGGTTAATTAATCTAATTTTACTACTCAAATTAAAATACATCAGACACATGAAGCTTCACGCTTGAAGAAATGTTTTTGTGGAATGCAGGGTAGAGGGCAAGGGAGGAAAGTCCAGACAACGGAGGCGCTGGTAGAAGGATTTTTGCTAAAGATGCTTCACTGTCTATCCAAAAATTGAAAAAATCTCACAAGATTTAATTATAATTTTTAATAGCTCATTTAATGGATCAAAATAAACACCTAATCAGAAATTAGATAAAACAAATACCGGTAGTCTTTTTTACAGACTTTAAAAATCCTTAAATTGGTTACCCGTCAAATTAAGGAACTGTAAAAGGATTAGAGGAAATGTATTATTTATTTGTCCATTTAATTGATAGGAAATTCTTTCTCATTCAAATTTTTCTTACTGTACATAGCATCGTTTTCTTATCTTGTTTTAGTTGCCCGAGAGATGAGATGAATAATATTGTATGGTACCAAAGCTGATCACTTGTTATTGGGTTAGTGTAATTTGTATTAATACCAAAGAACTTGAATGGCAGGAGAATGAGCTGTTCCGCGTTTTTGCATTAAAACTGATGGAACATCCGCCCTTCTCCTGCGAGCGGGGTAACATTTGACCATTTGACAGAGTTGAGAAGATACAATAAACAAACGAACCAGAGCGGCACCTTTAATATTGAAATAGAGCGCCGCCGCGTGGACGGGGTAAAATTGCTCTCCGTGTACCCACAATGCATTTCGAACGGATGTTCCACTACTAACATTGGGAAGCTGCTCATCTCCTGCTATTTCTTATCTTTGTTAATACTAAGAGGAATGTTAATATCAAGTTTTGAGCTCCGCGATTTGATTTTGGAAAAGGACAATAATTACCCCCCCCCCCCCCCAAAAAAAAAACAAACAATCTAAGCTGCATGAAAATGATTCATATAATCTTCCTATAATAATTTTGTTTCGTTAAATGATATGCCAACCCAGTGTCATGCGATGGTAAGTCCACCAATCAAATGACAGAGAGCTATGACTGCGTTATAATGAACTAACTTGGAAATGACTGACTATTTAATATTAAGTAATGCAGTTATAAAGCACTTTCTTAAAGTATAATATAGGCCTACTAATAGTGAATTTATTTCCCGAAGTAATCTAATAAATATTAATGATTTTCGTTTTTTTTCCCTTATTTTAACAGTTGATTAATCAATGTGATCGGCTGAAAGAAAGAAGAACACTGCGCATGCTCAACAATCGTTCATCTTGTTTCATTACTTGGGTTTCCTCCTAATTCTTAATTATACTTATTAACTATTTAATTCATTATTTATGATTGATAATGATAAATATTTTTATTAAATTAATGGTATTAATCTATTGTATTAATCAATTACACAATTCATAATAAATTATATTCTGCATAATAATATTATACGCTCTAGAAAATACAAATATCAGCGATTTCTAAACTATTCTGATGCTGAATGCATAAAATAGTACAATAGTTGATTTACAATAGACGGGTTTCTATCTAATAAAGACTAATTACACGCAATTACTTAGTGTCATGACTGTGTGTGTTCTGTTTTAGTGTGATATGCATGTATTTAAATTATCATCTCAAATAATTAATTAATTATTCAAAAAATCATCTAGTTACCAAATATGATATTTACATTTCATTGCGTTTTTGAAGTACCAGGACTATTGCCATTACCATTCTGTATAACCAATTTATTAATTAAAGATTGGATCGTTGTTACGTTACTGCATACGAATTTTAAGAATAAATTACGTGGTGTAGCGCACATTGAACTATATTTAATTGTTTATTAACCATGTTAATTTCAAAACAATTGTATTTTATACATTGGCGGATCTGATGGGGGTCAATAGTCCTGACCCCACCCCAGGAACCATGAGCTGATTTTTTTTCTTTCTTTTTAGTTCCTATGCACGTAATAAAATAGAAACTATTGTAATCACTCTTCATTTTCCTTTGTTTTTTATTGTGTGTAGTGTGCAGACTTATGCAAATGCGCATGCGTCAAAGAAAAAGTTTTCCGACATTTTGTTTTACCTCGCGATGCGAGTTCGATGTGAAGTTTCTGCAGAGTTCAGTCAGGGCTCACGCTAACCGATCGGCAAGTCGGCATGGATGAAACTATTTTGGTTTTACGGCAAAAAAAAATCAAATCAGCTGTGGCATAGGTATTTTGAAGAAGGCCTAAAATAAAACAAAAAGGTTTTAATACTTGCTGAAATACATCGTTTTTTCATTTAGATCTCCATTTTTCACTAACGCCATGCGACGTTTTCTTCTGTTGTATAAGTAGTCATATGAATGTACTATATCCCCGACAGTTGGCTATGCAGCAATGTACCCTTTGAATGCAAATTGAAGACAAGTGAAGATATAAAGGCAGCCGACTGTCGGGTACATAACGACTATCTAACTTTCCACAAAAACATGAGGCTTAAGCTAGGCCTAGTTCAGTACAGTAGTTACTGCGATGCGAGCGAGGGTGGTAGGACGTTCAGTCAGTGATATCGTGTTATCGTCTAATACATTTTAATAATGTGTGTAAAATTTAAGAATGCACCGCGTGGGTCGCTTTCTTTGTTATGCGGTAGTAGTATACGTAGCAGAGTGACGGCAGCAATCTAAGCCTAGCCTATGGCCTAGATATTATCCCTGTCTCTTATACCTTGATCATCGTAATGAAAACTTCGGGTGACAGACGATTGGGCCCAACTGGTGTGGACGATCGGACCCAAGATAGCTTCAAATAAATTGTAGTCCTAGTAGGCCACTGCCACCACCCCCACTCCTGACATCGTTCAAAACTACTGTAAAATGAAATTACTAATGTAATGTAGTGGGATTTGGAATAGCGCATTATACCGAAGTCTCAATGCGCTGGTGATGTGTGGACTAGGAACTCAATCAATGACTTTCTTCGCCCCTAAGGGTCCCTTCATGTCTGTGCTAACCGGTAACCCGGTACCAGCAACTCTCGTCGTCCACCACAGGGGCTGTCTGTTCCAGTACACCGGGGTATCCCCCTACTCGTCTCGAAGGATGTACTGGGTTCTTTATAGTGCACACGAGCCATTGTATACACTGGGCCTACGGTTTATAGTCCTTATCCGAGAAGACTTGCTCTACCACCAGAACCATAGGTGAGCGTGCCGTTCGAACCAGCGCCGATATTATGGCTATAGCTTGCGATATATACGTATATACATGCGCGTGTATACGTATATATTTTTACGTGTATATATATACACGTATATACGTATATATATATGCGTGTATATATATGTATATATATACATATGTATATATACTTTTTAAGTCATGTATCGTGCATAGGAACGTTGACGCCTGCAAGGCTCTGTTTTTTTTGTTACAATGGGAAAATTAGATGATATACATGCCTGGATTTAAAAAATTCAAAAATTAGGTGTAAACTGTTTTTTTTTTTAAATCTATAAAAGTACAAATATATATGTACAGTAGACATAGGTCTAACATAAAACGTAATAATAGAACTTTCAAGTCTTAAGGAGAGTTTACTGTGGTTTATTAAGAATCCTATCATTTCAATGAATCTTACACTTTCAAAGTGATAATGTATGTACTGTATAGCCTTATGTAGCTTGTTATTAAGTAATTATATCACTTGGCCTCAATAATAGTGTTTAAAAAAAAATTAAACTATCAACACAAACAAGACTGTACATATTTATGCATGAGATCGAAACTAATTATACATTTTTTGTAGCATATCTTAGACATCAATGGCGGATCCAGTTGGATTCCCTCTGTGAAGAAATGTAAAAAAAAAATATTACTGGGCCCTGCACTATTTTCAAGTCTGTGCCAGCTTCAATGATTAGGTGCTTTGTGCATCGTGAGGGACATTTCGATTAAAAAATATAAATAAATAAATAAAATTCGCTTTTGGGCGAATTGAGCCGATAATATTGATTAAAAAGCGGCTCTTTTAATAATTTTAGATATGATAGTAAAGATTAGAATCAATGGGCATATAGGTCAAATTCAACAAACAGTCTAGTGAGCACAATGTTCTTTGATATGAGTTCTATACATTAGTTGCAGAAGTATGCAAGTATTATAATCACGTAACAATAACTGAGCCTTCATTCAGTCTGTTACCGGTACATCAACATCAAGTCTATTTTATCATCGTGAACTTAACAAATATTTCAAATTAAGCATAAAACTATTTGGTTGATATTATTAAGAATCTTGGTAATAATAGACATTCATATTTGGTCTTGTAAGTTGTAAAATTCTTGTGAAGCAAATTGTTAAATGCAACTGTCACCATGACTTACAGTCTGATTAAATTGTGTTTTATAAATATTTATTACAAAAAGTATAGTACTTTGCATTTAAAAAGTATTTCATAGGCCATGAGTTGAATTTTCTTGTTGATTTGATATTATGAGATGTTTAGATCTGTCCACGCATCTCTATAGCAACGTAGCACTGTCGTACCATGGACCTACGATAAATAAAATGAAAGCAAATTAGATTTTAGGTGAACAACTGAGCGGATACAATTGATTAAAAAGTGGCTCTTTTAATAATTTTAGATACTATAGTCAAGATTAGATGATATGCCTAATTCACCAAAGGGTCCGTGAGCATAATTATGTTTTATATGAGTTACATTATGCAAGAATTATTGTAATCACGTAATATCAGAGCCTTCATTCAGTTTGTTACCGGTTTTTTATTTTTTTTTTATTTTATTTTTTTTATTGTATTATTATCGTGAACATAAAACATATTTCAAAGTAAACATAAAATAAGGGGATTTATTTAATATGTAACTTGTTTATTTTGTTTTGTATGTATTTTCTTATGTTAGACATGAATGAAAAAAAAATGATTTGTTTTTTAGTCATAGGTCTATGATATTGCATGACGGGTGATTATCTGATGGATGAATCATTCGCGTTAAACCGCGTCTATTGTAAAGTAGACAGTCGTGGCGCCAGTGAACCACTGAATGTATGAGCATTATGTGAAAGTTATTTAAGTCTAGTTTGAACATTTCTGTTTAATAGGCCTACATAATTTCTTTAAGTTTAGTCCCGAAACCTTTATTTGGAAATACCGGGATGGTGTCCGGCGGAGGATAGTTTTACCTCTGGTTTAAGATTTAGGTAGTAAAGATTAGTGTAGTTAAGATGTCCTGGGTATGACGTAAATGCACTCCATCGCCGGCGATTAACTGGCAGCCCATCTACAGCCTTAGCGGCCTTTGGGTGGGAGGGTGAATAGTCACCCAGCAGCAATAAGAAAAATAGCTGAACAAAGGGCGAATGAACTACCTCGGAACCAACGGCCGAACCATGCTTAGTTTAAGGAATAGTATAAGTTTAAGTATTACTTTCTTCATATTAACGTTAAGCGCATAGAGGTCTTCATAATATGCGCTCTATAAGTCGACCATTATTATATTATTCTTATTAGCAAAGTCCTAGCTCCCCGTAGCATCAAGCGAAGTTTCTTAGCTTAGGCATATCGAATTCTAATAAACTTTAATTGAACAACTATTTAGTATTGTATTTGTAGACTGACAGTAAATATAATACATACTCCAAGTATCGAAATGCATGCCATCGTGTCGGGATTCAATATTTCACATTCATTACGGTATGTCATTAGATTCCTGATGACACGATGGCGTGCATTTCGATACTTGGAGTATGTACTATTATACTATCATAGCAAACTATCCTACGTTAAAAAATTGCAATATCTTGAAGGGTTTTTCCCGACCAATCAGCATCACCGAAAGCTGTTGGTGATAGCGTCACTAGCGACTGCATGGAAACCCAGCTTAAATTTAACGAAGACAAGACGAATAGAAAACTGGTAAATACTCGACAAAACCAAATGGTTGCGTAGTAATTTACAGCTATACACGTTATGGCCCTGTCACACCTTGACGATTTAGTCAGCGTATGCCAAACGTATCAAAATTTCTCTAAAACGCTGGCATACTGAATTTTCGATGCCTTTTTTTCAACTTTGGGAGCATTCATAGCGTATTCATAACGTATTGAATGTATAAATAGCGTTTAGGAACTTATATAGAACGTTTTGATTACTTATGGAAAACTTACACAAACGAATGCTTAGCGTGTTGGCGGCGTTCACAACTTATGCCACTAGCGATAGTCTACCTTATGCACAGCGCGCCGTAGCGGATGATCGCCGATGATCATGTACGTGACGTAGCCTATAAAAAGGCTGCCGCTCGTCGATTTAAATCATAACCGCATTAGACATCGCAGTGTCTATATCACCGTATTGACATCACTCCATTTTAATATACTAGGCCTATTCCCCTAAACGCTGCTAATACGCCATTATACGATAACTGTAAGTTAGAAACACGTTCAGTAAGTTTTGTGGTCGCCTGGAACACGTCAAATACGTCTACATTATAGGCCCTACGTCAATATACGTTGGAGATAAGTTCGTTATAAGTTACATATAAGTTCGAAGCACGTTACTCATAGGTTAGAATTACGTTTTTACTTTTGAGTAACTTACAACTGAACTTATGGCCCGCGTATGCAGAACGTTACGAGCCATACACTGGCATGGGACGTCGAAAAGTTTTGTGCATGCACAAAACTCTTCTCACCGTACTACGACGTATCGTGCTTCAGCGTGCTCTAAACTTATACGAAACTTACCAATAACTTATTCGACGTACGCCAGCGTATTCGCCTTTTTTCATACGTCGGCATACGCTGGCTTCGTTAATGTGACAGGGCCATTAGCGTCAATGTTGCTTCGGCTTGTGACAGTTTGGGTTTTTTGTTAAAAAAAAAAAAATAATGCAGTTTTGGAATTCTGTTAGCCTACAATTATTGTTTTGACATTATGTGGGTACATATTATAATTATTATTTTTTTAAATTAACGCACATTTTGTTGCTAAACTAACCAATACGCCATGTTTGTTTGGGTCACATAATAATATGCACATCTGGTTTACGAACCACTCGAATGCGTGGTCACCAAAACGAACAATCGAACACACACGAGCAAATAAAACAAAATATTGTGGTGGCGCTGTTTGTAAACATGGAGGACGATATATTATCACCGGTAATAGAGTGTGTAAATTTTGCTGCAATTAAGCACAAAAACCAACGAAGGAAAGATCCTGATGCAACACCGTATATAAATCACCCAATTGGTTAGTATTATAGTAGGTTGGTCTTCATTCAAAGAATGGAAGTGTTTTTTGCTTCTTCTAGGCCAGCGGACTTGTCTGTTTTTTTATCTGATTCGAGTCACTGGTGTCCGTCAGGAAACTGTTTCGCCCGCGTCTAGGCCTACTCCTACACACGCCTCTTCTTCTTCTTTATTTATCTACCATTTATATCCATTACTAACATTGAAGCACAAAAAGCGGTACTACTGCCATTTATTTATTTATTTTCATAGAAAACATCTCAAAATACCATCTTTAAAAACATTATTAATAAGAAGTTAACTGGATTTGTCTCTGGGCTAAAACATAACATAACTACAGGATCAATACAAATAAAAAAAAATTAAAATTAAAATAATAAGAGTCAAAAACACATAAGTAATAAATACAGTTATAGTAGAATAAAAGGCCTATACATACAATAGGCATACACGCAGGATGAAATGTAACGTACCGTACTGTACGTAGTGAATGTTGTAGAGGTCAAGGGTGAACGCGTTTCTGGAGCCGTGAATGCGTTACAGAACCTCAATGTCACCGCATTACCTTCCGAAGCACGGCGGAAAAACCTGTAAACAAAAATCATTTTTACCATATTTTGGATAATTACCTTACTAAAAGTTGGTTTCTATTGATTATTAAGTAGTTTTCTACTCTCGTGTGGTAATATTTTTATCATTTTTGCACCCGTGTGGTCGCGAGTGGTTCCGTGTGGTATTTAGTAGCACCGGTTTCGCCCGCGTCTAGGCCTACTCCTACACACGCCTCTTCTTATTCTTCTTCTTCCAGATTAGTGCAAACTTCAATTTTGAAGGCTATAGCACTTTGGTGGTATGTGGCGGTGCGAGTGAGATTAATTTTTGCCTAATAATATGATTCGTAATGGGGCCTAGCTGTTACCCATAACTTAAATATTATTAATATTATGCCATGGCCTAGGCTACTACAGATCTATAAATTAAATAATAAATGACCGTGGCATGTATGCATGAACATTTTCATTGATGATGCCATTTTTAACTGCAGGAATCGTAATTTCGAAAAAAAAAAACTAGCCTAGTCCTCTAGAGAAGGCCTAGCCATTTTTGGGTTCTCGAATTTTCGATCGAGTGCTATTTCTCTATAATTTCCCTTAGAGTGCGTAGCAACAGGCAATGTATCCTAGCAACGGACTATAATTGCATAGTATGATCAAATATTAATCATGTAGAAATGGCCACTATCATTGGGTTCTAGTAGTGAAATGATAGGAAATTATGCACTTGTCACTGATTGTAGTTCCAATTTCTGTTTTGATACTGAATAAATTCCATCATTGCAATCAGTTAAATCAATCAATCAATTTTCTTTTTCTATGATCAATCACTATACTCCTTTTTTTTTTTTTTTTGCACTTTTCCAAACTTCATGGAAATCTGATGATTAGTGCTTTCATCAAGCAAGCTCATCTCCTTGGTCTAGCTCCTGCCTAGCTCTCACATGCCTCACCGATCCTTCAAGTAGGCCTTATCATCCAATCATTTTTTTAGCTGGGCATTGTACCGGGATTACGAAATATTTCCCGGTGGTAGGTGGCGGGGACTTAGCCGGGATGAACATTAAAACAATGCCCCACATTGCCGGGAGGTGGCCGAGACTTTCACATGCACGTAACCGTTTCTAAATTTACATACCCGACTAAGTCCCTGCTAGGCCAGGGTTCATTGGGGGTGGGGGCCGGGACTACAATTCACAAGTGCATATACCTGTGTGTGGTGAAGAGAGGAAGGTTTTTGGCATTCCCTTGCCTATTTTTGCAATCCATGCTCCCTAAAGCTTCATAGTTTTGGCAAAGAGTATAAAATAGTATTCTATACTCTCTTTAGTTTTTATTAAGTTACTTTAATCTCATTTAAGTAATTTCACACTTAACTGACAAGGGGAAGAGAGGTGATCTCCCCCGTTGCCACCCACTAGATCTGCCGCTGTTATAATCCATTGATTGGTGATAACAGTATTATTATTATTACTGTTATTTTCAATTTAAAATGAATAATAATATTTTTATGTATTGTTATTACTGTATGATTAACTTCCATTTAAATCAAACCAGGTGTTGCAAGAATACTCACCAAAGAGGCTTGCATTACTGATGTTGCTGTTATACAGGTAGGCAGTGTAATTTTCCCTTTCCTATCTTGTGATAATAATATACCGGATATAAAAAATTACTATGATATTAAAACTTTTCCAGCTTGACCTAAGCTCCACTGTTTGTAATTCCTTTTCAATTCGTACAAAAATATAAAACAAAATCATAAAAAATTCATGAGAAAAGGAAAAAGGCATAGACCCATGAATAAAATCATCTTGTGACGAGTCAGCCTGAAAACAAAAAGACAAAAGGGAGACACGAAAAACAAATGGAAAAGGATAAGGACAAAACCGGACAAAGAAGATACACAAAAAGAAAGCAACAGTTCAAATTGGATTAAGACACCGAGCATAAGTTAATAAAGAAGAAGAATAATGATAAGGGGGTTTAAGTCAGTTGTATGAAAGAAGGTGCCTGGGATTAGATGTGCATTATATCTCTACAGTACCTGTGTTCTGAATGTATAATACTGTACTTGCCTTTGCAGTGAGAGGTTGCATGTTTGAATCCTGCCAAAGACACTTTTTTTACACAACTGAAAAAGGGAACTTTTCATTGACATCACAGTACAGACATAAATTACTGCTTCTTTTCTACGCATAACCACTCGTAACCTACGCATAGGTACTGTTTTGAACATACATTGTTATTCTAAAGTGCTGTGCATGATCGAAGCATGATTGAAGGGTGGATCGTCAGGTTGATAAACAAAATTCAAACATAGTTTACCAGCTTTCAAAATAATGTAAACAGTGTTGCAATTTACTAATAAACAATGTTAGACTTTCATTTGTTCGTTATTTCCTACCTTAGATTATTCATGTTTTAAAACATGTGTTTAGCTAGGCCTTGTGCTGCTGTATGTTCGATCAGGGAGTTGTTGGTTTGATGCAGGTCTGCATCAGAGACCCAGTACTCGCAGTAGGCCTACAGTAACTACTTACATGTGATTTAATTTCCAATTCATCGTATTTTGATTTCATTGTATTAGTGTGAGAAACCTAATGTCCAAAAAAAAAAAAACAGGTTCGTGAGATAGGCTTGCCCAAAGCAATTTTATTGCATTTTCCGGATGTTTTGGGTAGGCCTATCTGAATCCCAAAATGCAAGTGTCCGACTCCATTTTTGTCTTGATTGTCTTGAAATCCCAAAATGGCCGCCATTTTTACAGTAAAAGTAACCATAACTGCGCTATTAGAGTAATAAAATATTTTTCAATTGACTTATTTACTTTTGAAAAAGAAATAATTTAGTTTTTATACATTCGCTGATATTTTAGCAACTGCATGTCCAATTATTCAACATAAGGTCTATTCTTGTTTTATACAAGTACTGTATTCTAGTCGTAATTATTAATATTATTGACCTCCATTTTAAAACGATTTCAGACAGACCATTGCTTGAGTTTTAGAGGCTCTATCGTCTTGTCTTTCACGCACCATTCACAGAAGCCTATGCTGTCGCCGAGCAAAATATTGAAAGATATAACTTAAATATTGAGGTTTTTTCGTAGTATGTTATTGCAAAAAAGACTACAATTAATGTATTAATGCAAATTTTTTTTGTCAACTGGGAGAGTGCGAGAAAACGTGAAAAAATAAATTAGCTGGGTTTCAGAAAATCAAAACAACAGTCTCCCGTCAAATAAGGATTTTTGAAATGTATGAGTTTTTGCTTGAAATTTGTCGGCCATTTTGATATTCAAGATGGCCGCCATTAACTGTAAGAATATCACCATTGAACAGGTTGACATTGAAAACACAAGGTTTGCTATAAAAATCATGTCGATACCTGCTCTGTAGCACAATTATGGTTACTATTACTGTGAAAATGGCACCCCTTTTGAAATTAAATATGGCGGCCGTGTATGATTCGGGACAATCTCACCATTAGGCAGGTTGACATTGAAAATATAGGGTTTGCTGCAAAAATCAAGTTGATACCTGCTCTAATAGCACAGCTTGTTATTTTTACTGTAAAAACGGCAGTCATTTTGAAATTCAAGATGGCCGCCATTTATGATCTGTGAGAATATCACCATTGGACAGGTTGACATTAAAAACATGGTTTGCTTCCAAAATCATGTTGATATTTGCTCTAATGACACAGTTATTGATATTTTTAATGTGAAAATGGCGGCCATTTTGAAATTCCAAAAGACAATCTCGGAAAAATGGACCCTTGCATTTTTGGATTCAGCATCCCAAAATATCTAGAAAATGCAATAAAATTGCTTTGGGCAAGCCTATCCCTCTCTTTTTGTTTCAATCGTAATTTGAATAAAACAACTGCGCCAGGGCCATGAGGTCGGAGATAGTCGCGGTCGGCCTGGTAGTGTGATGACCTATTACTGTTACCAGGGAGTTGTTATTTAAATAACAACTCCCTGCTGTTACGCGTTTAGATAACCTGCAAGCGAGTCAGCACCGGTCGTCCGTTACCGTTAGACAAGGTTTAAGCCGCATTTTCTTGTGTCTACTGCCCTCAGACAGTAGACACTTTGCTATCCTGGTCAATCCGGAAGCGTAAAGTTGACATTGTGAGCGTGAGTTGACATTCACAAAAGTGTGAAGTAAGAATCCGGAAGTGTAAAGTTGACATTATTTCACATTCGTGATGTGTGATATGACGTGATTTTACTGCTACATGTAAACTCGGTCGTGTGTGGCAGTAGACACGCTCCCGCTGGGAGCCTATTTTTTTTATAAGAGCACTGAGGCTAAATTACTACAACATTAAGAACAAAATAACTACAAATTGAGGATGTGGTAAAATATCAAAAGAAATGTAGCCTGACACCTTGGGTAAGATTTGTACGCCTTAAAAACCATGAAGTTTCAAATTTGTTTTCCGTGCATAGGCCTATTTTTATTTCATATTATTACATCGTATACAATTTGTACAAATTAAGACGTTTTTTTAAGATACTCACAGAATGGGTGATTTGTTAATAATAAAATAGTGTAGTCCTATTTTTTAATTTGCAATCAGTCTTAGCATTAAGGTATAATCAGATAAATAGAGCCACCCTTGTTCAAAGCCATTCAATAATGGACTGTATTGATTTTGTTCTATAATAGTTTTAGGCTGCTGGAGTTTTTTGGGTAGGACCTACTACTTTAGTCCATTGGGTATTAGGCCTATGAATTAGAAACTGGGAGTAGCCTAGAATAGTTATAAACAATCTGTGCTCTAAATGCAAAACAAAGGTTAATGAGCAAAGCTTCTCAGATGCAATTGAGTGGTTTCTAGAAATATAATACCTTTTTCAGTCAAAAATTTTATTCATTCTTTTACAATGTTATGTCACTTTCTGGCTTTCTTATTTTATTGCATACAACATAAATTACAACTAAATAGGATATTAGGGCATTATTTTTATTTCCCTTATGAGTAAATAATATAACAACACCCTTATGATTATACAGTATATATATATATAT